GACCACCAACAGAACCCTAGCCCCACCACCCTGCGAAATCGGGGTTGAAACAGGAAAAGTCGACAAGAAATGCACTTGAGAATTCACACAACGTAGTGGCATCCACTTACTCGTCGTCGGACGAGTCGGAGCCAAAGAGGTCGCTGGCGTTGGCGGTTGTCGTTGGCGCCGGCTTGTCGCCAGCAGCGTCGTCGTCCGAGTCGGAGCCAAAGAGATCGTCTTCGTCGTCGACAGACGCCTTCTTCTGTCGCTTTTCTACGAGCTTCTTCATCTTGGAGTTGCGGTTCTGCATGTCGGCGATCGAGAGGCTCGGGCCCGCGGCGTCGTCGTCGCTGTTGTCGCTGTTGTCGCTGTGATCGCTCTTGTCGCCGTCCGTCTTCTTACGCTTTTTGCTGCCCTTCTTGGGTGCGGCGGCCTTCTGCTTCTCCTCCGTCTCGCGCGTCTTCCACGTCGCATTGGCCGCGCGGAGACGCTCCTCGTTCTGGCGCAAGACCGCCATCTTGCGCTCTTCGGCAGCGCTCAAGCGCGCACGCTCGGCCGCTTCCTTCTCGAGACGCTCCTCTTCGTCGCGGAGCATGAGGCGGCGGCGCTGCTCGGCCTCGGCCTTGCGCTTCTCTTCCCGCTGGCGCTCAAACTCGAGATGGTACGACGCTTTGTCGAGCGTCTCGGCGCAAAACCGCGCGTGGTCCTTGACCTTCTCCAAGTCGTACACCGGCGCCTTCTTCGTGTCGTTTGCGAGCATTTGGAAAATGCGCATGGCCCGCTGGAGGTCGGCGATCGCGCGCTGAACGTCGGCAAGCGTCCGGTGGCTTTGCAGCGCGGCCTTGGTGTTGCTGGCGTCGCCGTCGCCGAGTGCAAAGACGGCAAACTCTTCTTGGGCAAGACCAAGGTTGTACCACAAACGCGTGTCACCTGGCATCAGGTGCAGCCCCTTTGTCAAGGCCGCAATGCACTCGAGGTGGCGCTTGGCCTCGTAGTAGGCTTTTGCCAAGTACAAGAGCACCTGAATGTCCTGGCCATTGTAGTGCTTGGTCAGACACACTTGGTAGAGCTGGATCGCTTCGTCGTAGCGCTCTTCGGCCATGTAAATGTGCGCGAGGTTGATCCACGCGTCCGGCATGTCGGGGCACGCCTGGCGCACCTCGGCAAAGATCATCTTGGCCTTGTCCAAATGGCCCTTCTCGGCCACCATGATGCCAATGCCGTTGGCCGCGTGCACGTTGAACGGGTGGCTCTGCAGCGTGCGCTTGTAGTACGTCTCGGACAGCGCCATGTTCTTCATGTACCGGCCGCGCTCGCCGATGTTGCTCATAAAGATGTTGCCCATCGCAAGGAACGAGTACGGATCGTTCTTGAGGTTTGCGCCGTTCTCGAGCTTGATGCCAAGCACGGCTTCGTACTTTTTTTGCGCCAAGTTCCACTCACGCCGCGCGTAGTGCATGTTGCCTTGGAGCAGCGCCGCGTTCGCACACGTCGGGTCCCGCGCCAGCGTCTCTTCGAGGAGCTGGACAGCTTCGTCGAACCGGCCTTGGTCGCGCTTGAGCAGTGCGAGACGCAATGCCGCGTCGTGGTAGCCCGGGAACGTCGCGACAATGTCGTTGTACAGCGCACTGCTCACGGCCAAGTCGCCGACGCGCTCGTAGACCAGCGCCATGTTGTAGAGCACCGTGACATTGTCTTCTTGGACTGTCGGCAGCGGCGCGGTCGCGTCGATGCCCAGGGCCCGGCGGTAGCAAGCGAGGGAGGCTGCAAAGTCGCCCACGCGCATGTGGAGCGACCCGAGATTCACAAACAGCTCCACGGGCACACGCTCGTTGGAGGTCTCAAGGACCTTCTCAGCCGCCAAAAACGACGAAATGGCCGCGAGCTGGTCGGTGCGCTCGTCCGAGACGTGGAGGATGTCGGCAACGCCGATGAGCGCGTTGACGTTGCCCGGGTCAATGTCGGCGACGCGGCGGTAGTGCGCAATCGCGTCCGTCTTGCGACTCGTCTGGCTGTACACGTGGGCGAGGAAGAGGAGCACGTCCGTGTTGTCCGGGTACGCCTTGAGCGTCTTCTCGAGATACGCGGTCGCCTTGTCGAGTTGGTTTTGCTGGTAGTACATTTGGGCGAGGCCCAGCCACGGCGACGCCAACGTTGGCATGAGCTGGCTCGCTTTAAAGTAGTACCCATATGCGTCGGCGTACTTGCCTTCGGCGTGCCGGCCGCGGCCCATGAGGTAGCAGCTCTCGGCGCGGAGCTCCTTGGTCAGCGTGTTGTGGTACGCATTGGCCGCAAGCGCAAACATCTGGTCGTACATCTTGCGGCTGACGCTGATGCCGCTGCGCGTGCGCCCGCTGTACGGCACGTCGATCTCGAGCGAGTTCTTCGCCGTGTCAATCGACACAACGTAGCAAAAGAACTTGCTGCCGAGGCTGATGAGATGGCCGGGCGCCAAGTCGGTCGAGAGGTCGTGCGACGTGACAACGGTCGACGACCCGCGCTCGACCGCCGCAGTCCCTGGCAGTGGCGACCACTGCAGAAAGTAGTGGTTGGCCAAGTGGTTCAGGACGGACGGGTGCGTCTTGTCGAGCGCATGGGCGTGGTGCACCATGGTCATAAAGCGTGAGCCTACAAGAGACGAGGAGGATGAGCCATTTGCGAGAGACAAGGCGGGACACCTTCGTTTTGCATGTTGCGCGCGCGCTCGGCCGGGCTGAGCGTCGCGAGCTGCCAGATCGCGTTGGCCATCATTGCGTCGACGTAGCTATCGTCGAGCTTGGCCGCGTACTTCATGACCGCGCGCGCCTTGTCGACGCAGCCCATCTGATAGCAGCAGTACGCAAACGCCATGCGCATGCGCGCGGCTTGGGGCGACTGCGGATGCAGCGCGATTGCGTCGTAGTAGAGCTTCTTGGCTTCAGTAAACTTGCGCTTGCGCACTTGGAGGAGCGCGGTCGCAAGGATCGCCGAGAGGTTTTCGGGTTGCACCTGGAGGACGGTCCGAAGGAAGCGCTCGGCGCGCTCGTCTTCGCCTTTGGCCATAAACATGAGCGCTTTGCCCGTCAAAGTCGTAATGCACTGCGGATCGATGCGGTCGGCCTTCTGGAAGAGCGCGGCCGCCTTCTGCGACGGCACCTCGCGCTTGCGGTCGTCGTCCTCCTTCCACATCGTGTTGATGTGGTGGCACGCCCATGCGTTGAGGATCTTGAGGCGGCTCATGCGCGCGGCCTCGTCGTGGTAGATCTCGTCCGCGTCCGACATGGTCGCCTGGTCAAAGATCTGCTCAAACTGGGCGACCTTGCCCTGGAGGTAGTACTCGACGGCAAAGTTGAGCCAGACCTCCAGCGGCGCGATCTCGGCGCGGAGGATCTCCATGATGTCGTTGGCGTCTTCGGGCAGCTCGTCCGAGAACATCTCGACGAGCTCATCGCTCTTGTGGACCGGGATGAGCAGCGACTTGCGGGCGGCCATGCTGCTGCTTGCTGTTGCTCACAGCCAACTCCGACCAAACAATGGTTCTCTCAAACTTGATAGTACCTCCCACAATGAATATACGAGCCACCGTCCAAACAGTGTTCTATACACTGTTTTAAATTCTGTTTCAGACACTGTCTGTGTGACGGCATGAGTCGAAACATACAAGAGCACACCAGGCACAAGTACAAGTAGCAGTGACGACGGGGGTTGCAAACAGCATATAGCATGCGTCGTGTTCAGCGTAGCGCAGCTCTTGGCGCCGACTGCCCAGCTTCTTGCACAAGTATGCACGCAGTTTCATGAACTCGACCTTTATGTGGGTACCGCCAGAGACTGTCGCGTTTTCCTGTTGGCAACAATCGCCACGGCTAGAGACTTGAGCGCCGAAACGTAGTCCAGACATCGACAACTACTCGTGCGGAAGCCGGACCCTACCCACACCAGCATTTCGCCCGTTTCAGTGCCGAGGACAAGGCATCCACGGAACAAACCCGCGCACTGTGGCATGCTGAGTGAAGTGTAACGCCATGGTGCTGTGCAATGTGCAGCTGGGCGAAGGCTCTGTGCACTGCAACTAGCATTTGCTGCATCGGTTGTCGTGATGGGTAGTGCACTTCTTTGGCTATGGTCGGTGCGGAATGCTTTTTAAGTAATGGGGAATATTGACAACGGAAGAATCGCTTCTCTATCCCGATCATTTGAAAAACACGAATTTTTCGCGTTCAGATTCCAGAGATTTCGAAACGTGTACCTGTATCCAACAACTTACTTTCCATGGAGAAGGCTCCGCAACCTTCCCTGTTCCTCCATCCTGCGCGAGTCAACATGATCGACGTGCAAGCTTTGCACGCTCGCAGAAGTAGCTCGTGGCGACAGAATAGCAACACTCGCCTCACACACGGCTTGCACCGAGTCATCTAAAGTGCATTCCTCGTGCGGAACCTCCTCGTGACCTTGGCGTCTCGCCGCCAAGAACGGCCATCGCTCGCCAGTCGGAGTCGTGCTGCGCTCCGTGTTCGGCTTCCCTCGCTACGTTGGTACCGAAAGCGACAAGCCGGACAGCGCACCCACTCTTTGAGTCGAGGGATCACTGGCTTGGTGAGGAGTTATGGCTTTGCCACCTCGTCAGAACGGAGTGAGCCACAATGGGTTGAACCCAGCTAGAACCAAGGTCTACATGAACAAGAATTCCCCACGCGTCGTGCTTGCCACAACACCAGCTGCACCATCAGCTAGCTTTTCCTCGTCCGCAGTGTACATATATTCTACTACAGTACGACCATGCCGGTGTAAACAAGCCTGCTTCCGGTGGGTCACTCGAGTGAGTCCTTAGATGACTCTACATTTAGCGTAGCGACGTTCCTCGATCATTTTACTTGCAGCGTGAATATCCTCGGATTGTACAAACACATTTTGATGAATACCCTCCTTTTGCACGCGCGAATCTCTGAATTTGCATTTGCGCAAGGAATCAGAGGGGTTGTTGGTAGCAGTTACTCCTATATCCGGAAATCCGGATACCATAGAAAGGCAAACACGACCGGTGGTGCAGCAGTTGCATTTTTGCCCATGTTGGACGACCGGATCCTGGCGGCGCCGACGGCAACGCTCGAGACGAGCGACGTGCTCCTCTACGTCGCTTGCCTCGTCGTCTTTGTCATTGTGCTGGACGCGCTCCTGCACTCGCTCGAGCACGCGTTCAAGCGCCATCGCAAGTACGCCGAGATGCTGCACAAGACGACCCAAGGTACGCTGCTATCGACTCTACAGGCCTTCATGGGCCACGCGTAGAACTCATGATTGTCGGCCTCATCTACCTCATGGTCAAGTTCTGCCTCTACATTGGGCTCGTGGCCAAAGGCGGCGTTGCCTACCAGGCCATGGACGCGGCCGACATCCTCGTCTTCTTCCTCGCGATCGCGCTCGTGCTCCAAGCCGTCATCGTGTTTCTGCGCCTACGTCGGTCCAACAAGAAAATGGACAAGATCTCGATCATTTCGGCGCGGGATCTCGTCGCGGAAGCCGAGGCCAAGCAGAATGCGTACGCGTTGCATTGGAACAAGCTCATGCGCACGGTCGTCTCGAACCGGTACGAGGAGCGCATGCACATGAAGATCCTCGGGCACTTTTTCCTCCAAACGTACGAGCTCCCCAAGATTTTCTCCTTTCCCAAGTACATTCGCGAAGTCCAAGACAGCCAAATTGCGCATTTGATTGAGATTGACGTGACAATCTGGCTCGTCCTCTTTGGCATTTACGCTGCGTTTTTCGCGTGCACGGGCGAGCTCGTGACGCACAGCGCGTACCAAGCGTCAAAAGAAGCGCGCCTTTCGGTCTTTGCGTGCTTCGGCCTCTCGCTGTCGCTCGTGATGCTGTTGCTGCTCATCTACCTGCGCTACCTCGTGCAGCTGCTCATGGCCCACGCGTTTGCGACCAATATGCAGTCGTCCATTACGGTGGACGAGTCGCTCGACATGCGCGAGTTTGTCAACCTCAAGCGCGCGATGGAGCCCGTCATTCGCGAGGTCGACACGACCATGCACAACTTGGTCGTCGTTCTCATGTCTCCCGTAGGAAGAGCGCGAGCGCACACAGGACATGGACCGAGCGCTCGCTCAAATGCAGCGCGTCGAAGAAGAATTAACAAGTCCCGAGATGCTCCACGCACAGCACCACGGTGCGGCGTGGCTGGCGCACGACCTTTTGCTGCAGCTCTTGCGGTCCGCAATGCGTCGACTGCGGGGTCTCAAACCCCAAATCAAGAAGAACACGCTCTCGGTCAAGCTCACAGCGAGTGGCGGCGGCACGTTTACGCTGCCGTACTTTTCGCACAAGCTCGTGCATTTCCTCATGCAGCTCTTCCTCATCATCAACGGCTTCTACTGCGCGCTGCTCCTCAACTGCATCATGTACATGGGCGGCGCGTCCATCGGCAGTGCGTTCCGCGTCGTCGGGCTCGCGCTCCCGCTCCTCTTCAACGCGATCGTGCTCGCGCCCAAGATTGTACGGCAGTTTGCGCTCGTCTCGGGCACGTGGCGGGTGGAGCCCAAGAAGCTCGCGAGCGTCATCGAGCACGTGATCGAAGTCAACACCCTCACAGGTCAAATGGTCCACCAGATCGTCAACCACTTGCACCGGACGGGCCAGCATATTCGGGACGTCGAGAACGCGCTTGCGCGCGCAGACGCCATTGACGACGACGCGGGCGACGGCTTTATCCACACCGAAGTGCTCCGTGACACGCTCAAGCAGTTTGGCTTTGCGTTTTCGCGCCATAAATTCCACACGTTTGTGCGGCTCCGCTTTGCGACCAAGGGCAAGACGATCCGGTACCAAGATCTCATGACATTGCTGCCCAAAGACGTCACCAACAGCCAGCAAAACCACGGCCCACAGAACGAGAACACGGACAACAAAGGTATGGACGGGCTTCAAGTCGCCGAGGTTTAAGGTGGAATGCAAGCTGCAGATTGTATGCTTGGTGAGAGTTTGCGAGGGGACGTTTGTCTGATAGAGTGCGGCACCGTGTCCCTAGCGAGAGGTAGCATGCTCGCGCCAGACTCGAATGGGCGGAGCGACCCTTAAGTTGTGGTGTCGACGTTCGAGCCACTTACGTTAGAGAACGAGCTACAGAGTAAGCACGCGACGACGTAGATCACGATCACCACGAAGTCGCTCCATTGAAAGCAATGTCGCTGGCGTCGTAATAGTTGACATGGTCACGCAGGAGCGCATGCTGCGTCGACCGTAAATGACCACACACGTTGGTTTGGTTCGAGCAACTTTTCGACACCTTTGGGCTACGTCGTCGCGCACTTGCTCTGTGGCCCGTTCTCTCACATAAGTAGCTCGCACGTCGACACCCCAACTTGAGGGTCGCTCCGCCCATTCGAGTCTAACGCGAGCATACAGTGGTCAGCCTTGCGCTCACATTAGTACAAGTACGTGCCTTTGCCGCAGAAACGCTTCGTCCGTGGCTGGCCTCCCACCCATCGCTCTGTCGTCGTTCTCGAAACGTGCGCGTAGCTCCTTGCTCGTCCCGAATCCAAATGGCCGCTGACCGCATACATGCCGTATCCTCTGGGAAAATGCAGCCCTTTTCTGGGTAAATGCAAGAGTACATAAATACGATATTATATGCCCGTTCTACAGGCATGATATTTATGTACTCTTGGTTAATGCGAGCTCGACTGACTCGACGGCCGTAAAAGCCACCAACAATCCACTCATCCGATACTAGCATGTATGCCATCGACAGTCTGTATCCAACGCGACATCGGCTTGTGTTTGCATCTCATCGGCAGTCATCGTTGGTACCACGCAGTCGATGGTTCAACACCACGACGATCTTGACAGCAAATGACCGACATGGGCTATCTATCTATCTATCTATCTATCTATCTATCTATCTATCTATCTATCTATCTATCTATCTATCTATCTATCTATCTATCTATCTATATATCTATATATCTATCTATCTATCTATCTATCTATCTATCTATCTATCTATCTATCTATCTATCTATCTATCTATCTATCTATCTGTCTATCGAATTTGTATACTGATGTTACGTCATTCGTAAAGAATCCACTTATTCATTCGCTCGCTGGACTGAAGCAGCGCGGAAGCTCGTCATTTGTAGTCGCCCGGAGGCCCTTGTGGCCGTGACCGCCCACCACGATACTATCATGAAGTTCTTCCAGACGTCGCGATCGGGAGTAAAACGGCGCAGTTTGACAGACGGCCACGTCATCGACCAACTAGGGGCTCCAGGCGCCGAGTGGCGTAGAAAGCGTATGTGAGGTCGTGCGCCGCTAAAGAACTGTCCTCAAGGGCACATCCACCGCCAACTGCACCTGTCGAGTCTTAAGCTGCTCTCCCATGCACTCATCAAACCAAGACTTGCACGGCGCTTCTCGCCATGCTGAGCACGCAAGCGATGACCTGAAGACTCGAAAGAAGCCGCACAAGGCGCGTGCAGATGCATTGAGGTTCGTGATTACGACAGTGTCGCGAACGGGTCGTTGGCGGCGTGGCCAGGCGCGGCCTTTGGCGGCGGAACGTTGGTCATGTTGGGCATGAAGGTATGCGCCGTGGGCTGCCGCTGAACGCCCATGGGTCCGTTGGTGTTGGTGTACATGCCACCGTATGGTTGCGCCGCCACAATGTGCTGTCCCGGGTACGCGCCAGGCGGATTTCCATAGCCCATGGACGCCGGAGGGTACATGGGTGCTTGGGTATACGTCGGCGGCGCTTGCATAGGTGGCGGCATCACGGGCTGCGGCGCCTCCTTGGGCTTGGCCAACCGCGCCTGCTCGAGTGTCTGCATGCTCACGGTCGTCTTGAGTTTTGGTTTCTCGACCAAGTCGAGGCTCACAATGTTGGCGCCCCACAGCGGGTCACTCGGCGTCACCTACACCACGAGTCCAAATTGGGTCCGTAATATTCAGACGGCTGTACCGGCGGCGCGTCGCTCATCGGCGGTTGCACCGGTGTCGGTGGCGGTGGTGGCGGCGGCGTGTACGAAAAGTCTAAGCCTTGCAGCATAGACGCAATTTGCTCTACGGTATTCATCAGTGGATATCCCCGAGCCAGGGGCGTTTGAAGTTACCAGAGCTGCCCGTGCGCTGCTGTTGCTGCTGCTGGTTAAAGCCCGCGTTCGCCACCGCGAACGGATCGTTCTTGGTCATGTCGACACCGAATCCATCGGGCGTGGCTTTGGCCGGTGGTGCGTCAAACGGGCGAAATTCCGAGGTGCGTGGCGCCGGCTCGCGAAGGTCCTTGGCGCTGCTTTGCTTGGAGTATTCGAACGACGGTGTCTTGGCCACTAGTACAAGACGCTGAGTGCCGTCTTCACGGTCAAGGTCCTGTACGGGTTTGGCGGGGGCGAGGGCTGCCGCAGGCTTCGCAGATGGGCGCAAGTCCCTTCTCGTTGACGAGCGTGCACGTCGTGCACTCCCATGCGTTGCCCGACCCTGTGCGCGAGAGGTCGCTGGCACTCGACTCGCGGCTCTTGGGGCGCGGCTGCAATGGCTTGGCGGTCGTCGACCCGCGCTTGACGTCCTTGTCGTTCTTGGTCTTGAGCTGCTCGGGCAGGCGGCGAAAGGACACGCCGTCGACAATCAAGTCTACGCTCCGTAGCGTGATGCCTGAGGCGACAATAGAGAGCTGCCTACCATAGCTGTCGTTGAGCTCGACGGACGGCTTGATGATGCAGTGCAAGACGTGGTTGCCGAGGTTGAAGACATAGTCCCAGTCGCCGAGGCTAAACTGCAGCCGCGATAAGACCACTGGCATGGGCGACGATGCGGCGTACCGTGCTCGTCTGGTACATGACGATGCCATCGATGCGGAGGTTCTTCTTCCCGGACGCGATCGAGTGCGTGAGCGAGATCTCGTACTCCTTGCCTTCTTCCATCTTGATGCGCCACGTAATGCGCTTCTTGGAGGCTTCGACCATCTTGCCGACGTTGGCGATCTCGTAGTAGAGACCCGCGGCCTTGGCGTTCTCGGCCTTGCAGTCCCAGCCCGTGCCACCGCGCGTCGGTCGATGGTGCATGTTGATCTTGTGGGCGAAATCTCAATTCTAAAAAAATGACCCATTTTTTGGCCGTGGGTTTCGTCGGTTTTGCGTTTCACAAACTCGTTTCCGATTTCGCACACTATTTCAATGCGCGTCTTGCATGAACTTGCCGAGACAGAGGTCAAGGCGCTGCTTTGCCCGAGGAGAAGCTCCGACGCGTCCTCGCGTGCTCATTCGGCACGACAAAGCTAGAGCTCCCTTCCTCGTCGTTGAGCGCCGCTCTTGTTGCGTTACCAAGGCCATAAATTTATGCAAAGTTTATGTTATTCGTTGTCGAGGCTAGTAGATACCACAGACAACGTGTCGGTTCTACGCCAGGACAATGCAGGAAATGTATTAGCAGGGTCGCTTGTGGGTTCGCCCAAGGCGACGGCGAGCGGAAAGGCCAACACGGCTTGATTTTTAATGCTCCCAAATAGTGTGAGAATTATCGACTCGCCTCCAGCTTCAGCAGTTGACCTCATTCACGTACGCAACGCGAGCAACGCCGAGCTCTCGGTGTATAGGAAAGAGGTGACGGACAACAAGGCAGTGCACCAAGAGGCTTAGAACGGTGACAGGTTCGCAGCGCTGACTTTGGAATGCAATAATTAGTGTTAGACAATGACATTGCATCCGGATATCGGTGGCCGGTTTCGATCGAAAGATCGCGACCGAGACGTCGTCGGATCCGCAGACCGAGATCCGACGACGCATGCACAACTCAAAGCGCCCCCGCGTAGAGATGACTGCGTCCTTTCGCTGCCTCGTCGACGCCAACCTTGTCGCGGCCATGACGTCCTTCCAGTGCGGCCTCTACGACGACCTCCGCCCACGCTTTGCCAAGTGGCGTGCCAGCTCTGCGCCGCCGCGTGATCTCTCGTTCCGCGATCTCTGCGTGCGCGATGGTAGTGACCGCCGCGTCGTGCTGCACGAGGCCATTGCGCGCGGCGAGCTCGACATCGTCAAGCGCCTCGAGGCCTGCCAGCTCGACCTTTTCTCGCCCTCGGCGATGGACTGCGCCGCCCGGCACGGTCAGCGCGCGATCGTTGCCTACCTCCACACAGCGGGCTACGCCTGCACATCCGACGCCATGGACCAAGCAGCGACGCATGGACACTTACCCGTCGTGGCCTACTTGGACACGCATCGCCACGAAGGTTGCAGTCTCCAGGCCATGGTTGGCGCCGCCGAGAACGGCCATCTTTTCGTCATCGAGTACCTGCACAAGCACCGTGACGAAGGCTGCAGCGTACGCGCCATGGACTACGCGGCCCGGAACGGCCACATAGATGTCGTGCGCTTCTTACACACGCACCGCAACGAGGGCTGCAGTGCGATCGCGCTCGACTTTGCGGCCGCCCACGGGCACTTGGCGATCGTCGAATTTCTACACAATGAGCGCACCGAAGGCTGCAGCACGTACGCCATGGACGGCGCCGCGCGCAACGGCCACTTGGCCGTCGTCCAGTTCCTCCACACATATCGTCACGAAGGCTGTTCACGCAAGGCGGCGGTGCAAGCGTCGCGCATGGGCCACAGCGCGATCGCAACCTTTCTCAAAGCCAACTACTCGGTCGACGCGCTGCCGTCGGCGCCGCGCAAGCTGCGCGGGAAGATGCCCAAGCGCCCACTCGTCCGCCTGCTCCCGCCTGCCGTGTCCCGGCGCTTGTGAGCACCACCGCCACCATGTACCATAGCCGACGACTCTTCAATATATATGGTCGGTTTCAAGAATCGAGGACAAGCACTAGGTCTCCAGCCAGCTCCAGCTTGGAGGTTGGAGATCGTCACCCGCTCGATCGTACCGGTACGGTGTACCAGGATGATGGGGACCGGTGGGCGGTGGCGGCCCGCGACCACAGATTGCATTCGTTTTTGCAGGTTTTGGGGATCGGAATTCGCCTAGATCAAGTGGGTACGCTCGTGGTGTGCACCTCTTTAGACTCGGCGCGCCTTCTTCGTCCGGCCCAGTCGCCAGCGCAGAACCAGGTATGACGACAACACATACGCCAGCGTCAACGCGCTTTGCGACTGTGTGGTGCACGGAGTGTGTGCTTGGACGAATTGCTTGGCGTGCGTAGCGACATGTCAAACCTGGGCATCTGGACGAACCGACCGCAGAGTGATAGCTACAGTACATCGCTGCTGCTAGCCCTCCATAGGTGCAGCCTGCAGCCGCATCCACGCAGCGCCTGCTGCGCTCGCCCTTGGCGTAGAGTTGTAGACAGTACTTGATCTTTCGCGGCCGATGGCCGTCCGTCGTCGGCGCCTGTCCGCCTGTCGGGCAGTTCAAGTCTCTCAAACTTGATATTTGGAGAATTCGGTGCTGATGCGTGTCGCAGATGTCCGGATAGCAGGCGTATCCGGCCCTATCACGCAAGATCGGCGTTGAAGGCGTGGCCAGGCAGAGTACGAAAGTTGTTTTGCGCATGAGCCGAGAGAGCACTCCGCTGCTGGGCACGCCGGCGCCGCCGAACAACGGCAACAAGCGCTTCACGTACGCCAAGGTAGCCGTCGGCGCCGCCCTCGCCGTTTCGGCTGTTGCCATGTTTGCGTGGTCGGGCCCGTCCACTGCCACAGTCGTGCAGGCCAACCAGACGTCGGCGCTGGCAACGACACTGACACCGGCAACGGCACCAACAACGACGCCGGCGCCAACGCCGCGCTCCGATCCGAACGCACCGCTCGCCGACTGGGCCGGCGAAGAGATGGAGCCCCCGTTCACCAAGATGACCAACCTCATCACGCCCAAGCTCCATGCGCCGACGTGGAAGGGCGCGATTCCGTCCAACGCGTGGTGGACCAACTTTCTCATCGCGGATGGCCACGGCGAACACCTCGGCGAGGGCCAAGTCACGCTCACGCCCTATACGGTCATCGGCCTCAACCGCGGCCTCCAAGTGTCGTACGGCGACGACCGCCGCGTCGGCGACAATGCGATTATCCAAGAGTACTTTGCGGACGATGTCGTCTTTGGCAGCAACCCGGCGCCGACGACGCGCCAGGTCGTGCGCTTTGACTCGCTCCACGCGCGCCTCGAGTTCAAGCGCGCGGGCCACCACGGCACGTTTACAGCGCTCCTCTCGCGCGGGTCGCCGTACCTCTCGGTCGACTACAAGGGCATGGTGCCGTCGCTTTCGTTTGGTGGGGCGGTCGGCGCCATCACGCAGGTCAACGGCGTTGCTGTCAATGACAAGACGGTCTTGACGCTCACAAAGTCGCACTTTCACTTTCATACGCGCATCGAGCGCAACCTCGTGCAGGAGTGGCTCGTCTTCTTCCCGTCGAACGTGACGCTGCGCGTCGATGCCCACACCGCGACGGTGCAAGCCGCGTCGTTTTACGGCATCGTGCGCGCGGCGCTTGTGCCCCAAGGCGAGAAGAAGGCCGAGTTCAAGGCCCTTCTGCACCGGAGCGCCAACGTCGTGCCTGTCGCCGCGTCCATTCGCGTTGGGTCGGCCAAGAACACGGGCGCGGTCGAGTTTGCGTGGAAGACGAAGCAGATGACGCCGAACGCGTCGACGATCGAGAACGAGGACCTGCTCATGCTCGCCTTTCCGCACCACGTGGATGCGTTCGGTGACGCGACGGGTGTCAACGTCTCGTCTGTCATGAACACGCGGCCGGACATCACGGCTACGTCCTCGGACTTCAAGGTGCTCGGGCGCTACGGCCATCGCACGATCAAGGGCAACCTCACGGCGGTAGTTGGGTCGGCGTGGACGCTGCTCGAGCCGCTCACAACGACCGGCTTCTTCTCGCAGCGCCCGATCGACCCGAAGCGCGTGCATGACATCTCGGCCGCGCTCGACAAGGACGCGTCGTACCGCCCGAGCGCGTCGGACCCGTATTTCTTTGGGAAGGAACTTGCGCGCCAAGCCCGGCTCGTCTTGATCGCCGACCAAGTGCACAACTGGGCCGTGCGCGACTCGCTCTTGGCCAAGATCGAGGGCTGGCTCACGCGCTGGCTCACGCTTCAGAACAGCGACTTCTTCGTGTACGATACGGTCTGGGGCGGCGTGTGCTCGTCGGTGGGCATCCAGGGGATGTTCTACATGACGGACTTTGGCAACGGCTGGTACAACGACCATGTACGTACTTCTCTATTCTCCTGGTCCAAAAGCGATGTCAATGTTGATACTTAGCACTTTCATTATGGCTATTTGCTCTACTCGGCGGCGGTGCTCGGTCGCTACAAGCCTGCGTTCGTCATGGCCCACAAGGCGGCTCTGCACACGATTGTCCGTGACATTGCCAACTTCAACATCCAAGAGTACGTCGTCTTGATCGAATGCTCTAAAGCGCGTCTCATGCCACGTTATCTAGTCCGTACTTCCCGCTCGCACGGCACGTGTCGTGGTTTGACGGCCACTCGTTTGCGAGCGGCGTGTACGTCTTGGACGGCGGCAAGTCCCAAGAGAGCGTCTCGGAGGCCATCAACGCCTACTACGGCGTGTACCTTCTCGGCCAAGTGCTCGCGATGCCGGACCTCGAGCAGTTTGGTCGCGTCTTGCTCGCGATGGAGATGCGCGCGGCGCAGACGTACTGGCAGACGACCCCCGAGATCTACGGCGAGCTGTACGCGAAGAACCAAATGACTGGCCAAGTCGGGCAGACCAAGGTGTCGTACGCGACGTGGTTTGGCCCGGTCATCGAGCACATGCACTTGATCAACTTTATGCCGTTCACGCCCATCACCGAAGAGTTTTTCACGCCCGAGTACGTTCAGAAGGAGTACAAGGTGCTCTATGACGGCGCGGTCTCCCGCAAGGAGAGCCCGATGGAAGAGATCTGGCGCGGGTATGCCTTCTTGGACCATGCGATCATTGACCCTGTCGCCGCGTGGGACGAAGTGCAGACGCTCAAGAGTTATGACGACGGCAACTCGCGCTCCAACTCACTCTACTGGGTCGCGACGCGCCCCACCAAGTAGTGAGATGAGAGCTCTCAACTTGTTTCTTCTAGATCAATAACGTCGTGTACTCACTGCGGTTTGAAGCGGTGTCTTGGCTCGGTCGAGCACCAGCGGCGGCAGCATTGTGGTGCTTGGTGCATGGCGGGTGTCAATGTTGCGTGCGATTATCCGATCTTGAGGCCATGGACGCTTGGTGTATACGGTTTGAGCACCGCGGGATGAAGTGGCATCGTGCATGGCAGCAGCGACTTCACACAGCTGGATATAGCGGCAGCCAAGGGCATGTAGCCAGGTATGGCCTTGATGCACCGCGCTGAAATGGCCAAGGCGTGGCCGCGCCAATGTTGCGTGCGATTATCCGATCTTGTGGTGCGATAATAATAATAGAATGCAACTTGAATGGTCGCGTCGATGATTGGTTCGAGTTTTGACCAATCCTGCGTGGTTTTTCGAAAGCACTGGTCCGAAGCTGCCACAAGTAGAACTCGCGATGGACGACCTCGACCTCTTTGGCGCCTTTGACGACACGCAGACGCTGTCGACGGCCGAGCAGGCCGCGCTGGCGACGGCGCCGACGCCGACGGCGGCCGCGCCCTTGAAGCGCAAGGCCGACGAGGCCACGCTGCCCGCCACGAAGCGCATCCAAGTGCAAGTCGTGCAGAACGTCGAAGCGCCCAAGGACGAGGTGCACTGCGCAACCGGTACGCAGAAGAAGAACCTCATCTCATTCTCGGCGCTGCCGCCGGACTACGTGGCGCCGACGCTGCCGGACGACTTTGTGCCGGCCAAGAAGTACCCGTTCACGCTCGACCCGTTCCAGCAGCAGTCGGTCGACTACATTGAGAAGGGCGAGAGCGTCCTCGTCTCGGCGCACACGTCGGCCGGTAAGACAGCTGTCGCCGAGTACGCGATCGCCAAGTCGCTCCGTGACAAGCAGCGCGTCATCTACACGTCGCCGATCAAGGCGCTCTCGAACCAAAAGTACCGCGACCTCGAGCAAGAGTTTGGCGACGTGGGCTTGATGACAGGCGACATTACGATCAACCCGACGGCCACGTGCCTCATCATGACGACCGAGATCCTGCGCTCGATGCTCTACCGCGGGTCCGAGGTCATGCGCGAAGTCGCGTGGGTCATCTACGACGAGATCCACTACATGCGCGACAAGGAGCGTGGCGTGGTCTGGGAGGAAAGCATCATTCTCCTTCCGCACAAGGTCCGGTTCGTCTTCCTCTCGGCGACGATTCCCAACTCGAAGGAGTTTGCGTCCTGGATTTGCCACATCCACCACCAGCCGTGCCACGTTGTGTACACGGACTACCGCCCGACGCCGCTCCAGCACTACGTCTTCCCCGCGGGCGGCGACGGGCTCCACCTTGTCGTCGACGAGAAGGGCAAGTTCCGCGAAGACAACTTCCAAAAGGCCATGGCGACGCTCTCGGCGTCCATGGAGCCCGAGCCGGCCGACCAAAGCGCCAAGAAGGGCGCCAAAAAGACGGGCGGGAACCCGAAAAAGAAGATTGGCGCCGACGTCTTCCGCATCGTCAAGCTCGTCATGGAGCGGCAGTACGACCCGGTCATTATCTTCTCCTTCTCGAAGCGCGAGTGCGAAGCGTATGCGCTCCTCCTCTCCAAGCTCGACTTTACGACCGACGAAGAAAAGACCATGGTCGACCAAGTGTTCAAGAACGCGATCGACTCGCTCAGCGACGACGACAAGTGCCTTCCGCAGGTCGACTCGATCCTGCCGCTCTTGCGACGCGGCATTGGCATTCACCACGGCGGCCTCCTCCCGATCCTCAAGGAAGTCATCGAGATCATGTTTGGCGAAGGGCTTCTCAAGTGCCTCTTTGCGACCGAGACGTTCTCGATGGGCTTGAACATGCCGGCCAAAACTGTCGTGTTCACCAACTGCCGCAAGTACGACGGCAACGACTTTCGCTGGATCACGTCCGGCGAGTACATTCAAATGTCGGGCCGCGCCGGTCGTCGCTCCAAGGACGCCCGCGGTATCGTCATCCAGATGCTCTCGGACAAGATGGAGCCGCAGGTCGCCAAGGGCATCTTGTACGGCCAGGCCGACCCGCTCTTTTCCAGCTTCCACCTCGGCTACAACATGCTTCTCAACTTGCTCCGCGTCGAAGACGCCAACCCCGAGTACATGATCAAGCAGAGTTTTCACCAGTTCCAGAACGAGCAAGCCGCGCCAGGGTTGGAAGACGCGCTCGCCCGCGTCTTGGAGGAGAAGGATGCGATCGAGATTCCCAATGAACCCGAGGTTGCCGAGTACTACTACCTCTCGCGCAGCGTCGCCAAGTACGCCGACGACCTCCGCGCGATCCGCAACGAGCCCAAGTACGTGGTGCCGTTTCTGAACGCCGGCCGCCTCGTCAAGGTCCACAGCACGGGCGCGCCGTGGGACTATGGCGTCATTGTCAACTTCGAGTCGGGCCTCAAGACCAACCCGGACGCGGCGCAAGCGTCCGACACGGCGACGGTCGTGCATGTGCTCCTCAACTGCCGCGCCGGCGTCGACAAAGCCGAGCCCGAACCCGCGGCACCGGGTTCGTGGACGACCCGCGAGTCGGAGATGAAGATCTGCCCCGTGCCGCTCGCCCGTATCGACGTGCTTTCGTCGCTCCGCGTGTACATTCCCAAGGACCTCCGCCCGCTCGATGCGCGCGTCGCAGTCGCCAAGTCGCTCGCCGAGGTCATGCGCCGGTTCCCGCAGGGCGTCCCGCTCCTCGACCCGATCGAGGACATGGCAATCGACGACGTGGGCTTCAAGAAGCTGGTCGCGAAGGCCAACGACGCGCAGGCGGCGATGCTCGCATCACCGATCCACGCGGAACCGGGCTCGCGCTTTGCGCTGTACGCCGAGAAGATGGAGTGCGAAGCCAAGGTGCGCGAGCTCGAGCGCCAGATCAAGGACTCGCAGACGCTCGTCTTGAAGGACGACCTCCGGCGCCGGAAGCGCGTCTTGCGCCGCCTCGAGTTTGTCACGGCCGACAACGTCATTGGCCGGAAGGGCCGGACGGCCTGCGAGGTCTCGACCGCCGACGAGCTCCTCGTGACGGAGCTCATCTTCAACGGCGCGTTCAACGACCTCGGCGTGAAGGAGACGGTCGCGCTTCTGAGCTGCCTGATCAACACGGAAAAGGTCAAGGACGGGCAAAAGCCGCCGACCGCCGAGGCGCTCGAGGCGCCCGTGCGCACATTGCGCGACACGGCCCGGCGTGTGGCCAAGACGATGCAGGACGCCAACATCACGATCGACGTGGAAGAGTACGCGGCGTCGTTCAACACCAACATGGTCGACGTCTTGATCGCGTGGTGCGAAGGCGCCAAGTTTAGCCAGATCTGCAAGATGACCGACCAGTTTGAGGGCTCGATCATCCGTCTCATTCGGCGCCTCGAGGAGCTTTTGCGCCAGCTCACGCTGGCCGCGCACTCGATCGGTAACGCCGAGCTCGAGGCCAAGTTTGAAGAAGGCGGCAAGAAGATCAAGCGCGATATCGTCTTCGCCGCGTCGCTCTACTTGTAAGTACCTAACCCTGTAATCTGCATCAACACTAGTTTGTCGACGGTCTTGCTTTCGTACAGAGTTAGCTAAGTGGGACCGCGTATACATAGTGTGGTGCCTAATAGATGGTGGGGTCGAGCGCTTATGTCGCTGGCATGGGCTCGTCGTTGGCAGATGACGTCGACGGCGCGCCCATCATGGTGGCCATGTGCATCGCGGTCTGCATGACCGAGTCGCCGACAGGGATCTCGGCAAACATGCGCTCGGTGTTCTCGAGCATCGTAATGAGCTGCGGGTAGTTGGCAAACGGCGACTGGTTGACCATCTTGCGCATGTACTTGGTTCGTGTGTTGTGGCCGGTCATCTTGTCGTGCTTCTTGAGGATCTTGGAGAAGCCTTGGTAATTCATGACCGCGTAGTTTTCGAGCTGGATGCACTCGCGGTAAAAGTGCACAAACGCGAGCATGAGGCGCTTGGCGTCCATCTCGTCGACATCCGACGTCTTCTTCTTCATCTCGCGCAGCACCGATTGGAGCTGATGGAAGCGGAAGAGGTACCGCTTCTCTTCCGAGACGTAAAAGCAAGCGAGTTTCCGCAGCTGGTCGCGGAGCTCCATGAAGAACTCGATCTCTTCTTGGTTCTGCGTGAGCTCGGCCTCCTTGTTGTCGCTCACGCTCGGCGGCTTGGCGGCCGCGACGACGGCCTTGATGCGCTTCTTGAGCACCTTGTAGTTCATCCAGAACGGACCCCACTCGGGGTTGCTCTGGTTGACCGAGTTGAGGAGCTCCTTCCCAAACTTCATCGGGCCGGCGGTGAGAGTGTGACTGGAGTCCGAGTGCCAATGCAGCCTTTTTTTCTGTGGCCGCCTCGCCGTACTTGGCGTTTGTATGCAAGGAATCCGAGATGCGCACCTCTCAAATCGTATATGTTGGACCACCCGCCGCGGTGCCTCGAATCTGGCACGTTATCTAATCCAAAGGCCATTGGCCAACGCGCTGCCAGGTGGCTTCCGCCTCCCAGCGCCAAGTCTCGACCGTGATGCGAGCTGTGCGTTAGAGCCGCGAGGACGCGTGACGGCTGCGAGACGCGCGCGCCAACGCTAGCACAACGGTGGAGAGTGCGGCGACTCGGAGCCAAGGCGGCCGTGCGGGGCGGATGTAGAGACACAAAGAGATTCAACCAAACGTGTTGCCAACGCTGTACCGATGCGACTGCGTGGGACGCTGCGCATCTTGGCTTGCAAAATCAAGCCGCGTCCTTGTGTGGCCGCAAAGACAACCACGAATGGCGGGAGCGAGGCAGATCGAGATACGAGGTGATGGAACAAGGCGATCACGACGACGATGTGATGGCTGCAGACAGGCGCCGTGTTGGGTTGTAGTGCACCGTGCACCAGGGATACGAGGTGGAGAAGCTGACGACCACGTCGAGGTCCGACAAGAGGTGGCCAGGTGCCTCGCTAAATTTATACCGTGACTGTCGTTGATGCGGCCGTCGACCGAGCCGTCCTTCTGACAAGCAACAACTTCAACACGTCGTTCCGCGCGCTGATTCGCCCAGTGTGTCGCAGACGCGCACTGTCTACTTGGACGCCACTTTGCCGTAAAGACCGGGTAACCAAGTCATCGTTGTCGGCCGCGCTACCTGCTAAAACGACAGCGCAACAATATAACACCACGATAAGCATTGTTTCAGACCTGTACAGGTCGTGCGCAGGCACGTAGCGCGCACTGCGAGAGCGGTAGCATGCAAAGGTTGCGTGCGTATAGCCTCGGGAATACCGAATACGGGATGCCCATCAACGCCGTATCCGGACGATCCCGCGATGGGTGAACGGTTCAGATTGAACTTCCGAGGATGGTGACAACACGCAGTGGACGCAGCCCCGTGGCGGCTGCCAAGAGCCCCGCCAAGGCGACGACCCCGCGCAAGAAGGCTGCCAAGAAGTCGGCCACGGCGCCAGCGGCCGCGACAGGCGACGACCTTGAGCTCGTGCATGTGATGCTGCTCTTCCGGCACGGCGACCGCTCCCCCATCACGACGCAGGTCGGCGAGCACCTCGTCATGGACGCCGCTGAGAAGGAGTTTTGGATCTCCAAGCTGCCGACGGACGACACGATTGCCCGTACGTGCATGTGACTCGATGGCCTGCAAGACCTTGATATTTGCATGTAGGACTCGGCCGTATCGCCAAGGTCGTGGGCATGGAAACCCACCTGCCGCCGCCCAAGGACCCGCGCGATGGCGGCGTGTACCCCAACGGCCAGCTCACGCAGTGGGGCTTGGACCAAATGGAGGCCAAAGGCCGCAAGATGCGGGAACAGTACGCGCATTTTCTCGACGCAATCGCGCCGAACGACGTGTACATTCGGTCGACGAACGTGCGCCGAACGATCCGGTCGTGCCAGAGTCTTCTCCACGGCCTCTTGCCCGAGTTCGTGCCGACGTCCGAAGACGACGCGGCCAAGCTCTTTATCCGGACTGCGCAAGTCGTGTCGCTCGAGCCCACGTACACGCAGGCCGAGTACGGCACGCTCCTCGCCCGCTACAAGGACCCAGCGTTCGCCGCCACGCTCGCGCCGATCCCAAGTCACATTGGCGACACCGCGGCACTCGATGCTGACGTCCGCCGCATCATTGGCATTGCGCCGTCGGACCACATTTGCTACACGTCGCGTGCGTCACGCCCTCCATCCATTGGTATATCCTAACATTGGAATAGTGCGCGAGGTGCTCGTGTGTCGCAACGCCCATACAGTACCGTTTCCGAATGAAATGCCCAAGGAGATTTACGACAAAATCGTCGACTACAACACGTGGGAGTTCCACGCGCTCTTTGGCCACGCTGGCGACTGCTATCGCGGGTTTAGCCGTGGCATGCGCGAGTTTGCCGATTTGGTAGCCGCCGTGACGCGCGAGGTACGTGCTTCGAGCCTCGAAATTTCCTCTAAAATTGAAGCCTTTTTTGTAATCGTGGGATACTGTAGGCTACCAAGACGCACAAGCTGACGCTGCTCGCAGTGCACGACAGCTCGCTGATTGCCTTTTGGAACGCGCTTGCCCTCCGCGTCGGGAACGTGTTCCCGCTCTATGCGGCGACCACCGCGGTTGAGATCTACAAGAAGCCGAGCACGAACGAGCTCTTCGTGCAAGTCAACTTGGATGGTGACCGCGTCGTGCCGTTCACTGGCCACGAGACGACGCCGATGGTCCCACTCGCGCATCTCGAGGCGACGCTTGCGACCTTTTTGGCGCAAGGCGATGACGACAAGAAGAGCACCGATGCACCGCCCGCCAAGAAGGCCAAGATCAACGCCTAGATACATATATAGTACCAACATAATGTCTTGCATGGGTGCTTGTCGCTGGTCACCATCGCAAAAGCGTATCTTGGTGGGGAAAGGACGCCGTGGATTGGTTGGATTTAAACCAATCAAGTGCGTCGTGATGCCTGGATTGGCCAGAAGGGCTCATTTCAATTTTGCCGTCAGCCAGACGACGACCATGCAGACGGTCGCATTGACCGCCAACGCGCTCCTCAAGGTCGGCGTCGATCAGCTGGAGAAAGCCGCGCGCCCGATGCTCAAAGCGATGCTGTCGAGCGCCATGGACGAGATCTTCGATTGCACCGCTGCACACGTAGGTGATGTCCTCCTCGCATGGACCGTACTCGCCCTCGTCATCCTCTTGGCCTCGCGCTTGCCAGAGATCGAGCACATCGAGGCGCGTGGGCAGGCGGTTCTGTGTCTACTCATCGTCTTCTCCAAGTTGGTCATGGAGCCCGTGCACGGTCTCGTCCTTCTGTACCGCTTGCACCATCTCCCGGAGCACCGTTTCCGAGGTGATTAGACGTTCGCCGGCGACGACAACGCTCCGCTACCACGATCGCCGCCTCTGCAAAGGTACACCAATGCTTCGATCCTTCCAGCCCATGCAGCGTTCGTTTCGGCTGGATGTATGGTATTACTCGTAGTGTGCATTTCGTTGTTCGCGGCGACCGCCATGATACGAGCAGATCGTGGAAGGATCCCGTCGGCTAGCACATCGCACATCAGGCTTTAGAAGAATGCACGCACGGCGTCTTGAAGCGCAGTGCAGAGGACGTCGTTGCTCGTGCTGCTGGACGGGACGAGCCAAGCCTGAAAGATGTTGAAGCCCCCTGTCCACGCCAAACGTCCCAGAAGCTCCAGTGGAATGCCCAGCGCCAGCTGCGCAACGTGCTTTCCGGCACGGCAGAAGTACGTAAGCACCCGATGGCGGCGGCGCAGTCGACCCGGGTTGCGAGGTGGCTTCGGACCGGCGACCGGCGTCACGACGACATAGAGGCCCAGGGCGAAGATATGTGGCAGGAGCGACAACCACAAGGTAGCGCAGCGCAAGGTACCGCGGGCAGCAAGCAACATCAGACGCACGGCGGTACCCGCGAGCAGCGCCGCAGCAATACCCTCGATGGCGATCATTTGGCGACTCAGCTGTGCCGCCTGTGTCGCATCTCCGTCGACCGATCGCGTCATTCCCACCATACGCAACCCTATCCTCCCGGCTGCCAGCGCCTCGAGCCTGCGAAGCCGTGTGGCGAGCTGTCCCTGAGCTCTGTCCCTGTAGCATACCACACATGGAAGCAACCAAGTTTGCATTGAAAGTAGCGGCTACGAGTCCATAAAGTCACCGATAGCCTGCAACACGAGCTCGAGCCCTGGCAACGTGCACCCGAGCGATTTTGCCACGAGGCGGGCAGCCGCAAGAAGCGCTGCGGCCGCGTATACGGACGCAAAGCACCAAAGCAGCGCCGTCCACGGTGTGGTTGAGCTCCACGCAAGCGCGGCGCGCTGCTTCTGGACGAAATGCTGCCACACGGTTGGCGGCGGCGGCGGCAAGGTCCCGAGATAGATGACATCCGCATCGTCGTCGTCGTCGTCGTCATGGTTCACGAGCACGCGGCGGGCCGGCGTAACATAGATTGCGATCTGCATGACGCCGAGGCAGGCGACGGCGTCCCAAAGCAGAAGGCCTGTATGGGCGATGTCCCATGCGACCGCCAGCACCACGAGCGCCAGCAGCACCGGTCGCACGCGTCGATTCGTCATCACTTCGGGCAATCACGCCGCATGACGAGACGGCGCGATGGCAGCTGCCACGGGCGAGATGTACCGCATTGCACCCTGCACTAGCCACCTCAGACGCCTCGACGGGGCAAGATGGAAGCCTGGTGCAGAGATGGCAGACATCGATTCGACTTGCTTGCTCCATGCTTCACGAAATGATCGCCGTCGTCGTCGCCTGGCTCGCCTTGCCGTCACCGCTTGCCATGCAGGTCGCTGTGCTTTTCCTCTACTATGCTGGTTCCGACTCTGCCGTCTGGGAGCTCTTGCGCCGCAGTGTCGCCAACCCCGTGACGACGTGCGTGGTGGTGGCGCTCTCGACGTGCATGTGGTCTTGGCTGCCATGGCCCGTCGCGATCCCAACCAGCGTGCTTCTCGTGCTTGTGGCGCTGGTCAACCCCGCGGTCATTGCGTGCCTCCGTCGCGTGGACGTGCGCGACTTCCACGCGGCCAACGACGAGATCGTGAATGGCGTCAAGCTGCTCCTGCTCATTCACATTCGCCCGCCGCCGCGGGCGACAAGCTCCCGCCTCGTCGTACTCGCCTTTGTCCGCGACGAAGTGATTACAGCCACGCTTCAGGCGTTGTTGAGCATAGGCTACCGCTACGCGGCAGGGACGGACAACAGCGAGGGGTTTCTCAAGCTCGTGTGCAAGAATGTGATCTCGACCTTTGTACCACCGTTCCTTTACAAGCCAGTCACCTAAGACCACGTACTCCATTTACCTTCAACATGAAGACATGTTGACGCGTCCTGACCGTCCATTGTTGGTGTTGATGCGAAACGGCCACATGCGCGAAACCGAAGAACGGACGGCTGTCCGCCAAAGTCGCTAGACCAATGTTGTATGACATATAGCTCATAGCTGCGCTAGCAAGATCGCACGTCGAATGCATTATTCTTGTCCTATTGCCTCATCGCATCAACCTTTTTCTCGCTTTAGGGCTGGGAGACCTAACCTTGTGCCTACTAGGGAGGACAACACGACAACTAGAGCGACAACGAATATCCTGATTACACAGCCGCCACGGAAACGACCGGTGTCCATAGGTCGTCGCTACCGGTACCGACAATAGGACCATTTTCAAGAAGAGAAAGAGGTTTTCCGCGCGATGGGACGAGCAGTCACGAACAACAGAAGCACAGAAGCACAGAACACAGAAGTCCAAGCAGCGAAACAAGCGGTCCCGCTCGCTCTGATCATTCCGCCTTTTGCAGCCCGTAGCAAATTAGCTAACCCACCTCGCCCACCACTGGGCAGGCGGGGCACCAATACATTCGTTACCCCCCAAATCTGCTCGGCCGTCTGCGAGGAAATACCGACAACGATCACATTGACAGGGTGGGAGGGTGGGTCGCCATCAGCTCTCTCTGTGTGGTTTTATTTCTCACATGAACACGTGAAAACCACTGTGGGAAATCTGTGGGTGGGAAATGATAATAATACAATTCCGCAGTGCTAAGATTTCGCCATTTTTTCGAGGCCGCGATGGCCCGCGACACCAAGCCGCTGGACTCGGACTACTCGGACTCGGACGTGGACATGGACGTCCCGTTCCGCGCGCGTGTCCCGAGTACGTCATGCTACGCAAGCATTCGATGCGCAGACTGACGCTGTCTATCTAGCGCTCGTGACATTGCCTGCCTGTCGGCCGTTGGCAGCCGACGACGTTGGCGGTACACGCCTACTGCCACGACCACTGCAGTTCATGGAAACGTGTCTAGTTGAAGCGCCGCCTGTAAACCTCTTGTCGCTGCTGCCGCCAGACATGTGGATGCGGCTCACGCCGGCCGAGCGTGCAAGCTTGCTCCCGACGCTGCCCGACTTGAGTGGCTGGTGGGGCTTGTCGTCCGACGACGCGGCCGCCGAGAACGTGCGGCAGCTTCTTGCCGGCGCCAACGTCAACTTTGGCAACCTGCTTACGCGGTTCAGCTTTCCAAGCGCCGCACGCAGCGCGCGGATCCGGGACGAGCGGGTCGCGTTCGAGTGGGCGCGCACTGAGTACGCGTCGTCAATCACCGCCTCGATCCTCTCGCACCGCGCGCAGCTGCTGCGCGAGCCCATGTCGCTGGACGAGCAAGCACTCTCGACACCGGTACAATCTCCATGGTTTGCCGCGCGGCTCACGGCGCGTAGATGGCGCTACCTGCCTCCGCACCGGCCGTCATCGACGAGATCCGGCCGTCAGCCCCGTCGCTCTTTCTCGCGATTCGCTCAGCACTGCATACGATACCGCGCACCGCAAGCGATATCTGCGACATGCTGCTGGCGGAGCACGCGTGGACCCCGGCCTTGGACGGCGTCAACGGTACGCGTCCCGTCAGCCATTGCATTTCTCACAGCGAAAATCAGTGCCCGAGCTGACGCCGCGCCTGTACATTGAGAGCGCCCTCGTGTTTCTGTCCCAGCCGATAGTTTCGACCGCGTTTGCGGGCGGCGCCCACGGCTGGGACGTTCCGTCTGTGGCGTTCGATCCCGTCGGCGAGACGTTTACATGGCGACAAGGTAGACAGCGCCGAGTCGTGCTTGCTAATGATGCCCACCAGATGCGCAAGACAGCATGGACGAGTCGGTGCGCCTCTTGCACCTCGAGCGCCTCTTCCGCTCGCCGTTGACCGAAGTGGACCCGAGCTTGCAACCCCACGCGTACACGGCTCTTTGGCGATTTGCCACGTCTCATGGACACGACAGGGCCATTTTGCGCGTGGCTCGGGCCCACAAGGGAGTGCCCAAGCGGCCGCGGGTGGAAGAAGACAGCGCGCCGACGCCTCCCGCGTACACGTTCAAGACGGCCGAGGTATCAAGTTGATACAAAGCCACGTCGCAACTGGTCTCTTGTAGAAGACACAGCAGACCGAACGTCCATCGCAAGCCATGTACCACGCGCAAGACCGCCAGCGCTACAGCAAGCCTAGCATGCCCTTTACGTACGACGCTGCATGCGCCTCGACGTAGTACGAACGCGGTGGCTGTAGGTATTACGACATGGCGAGTGGGCACCAAACGTCGGTCGGGCCGTTGTTGCCCGTGCACGGCAGCCCCGTCGACGACGCATCGCTCTTGGTGGCCGTGCCCGACCTTCCGCCAGCGGCGTCCGTGGGCTGGATCAACATCACCCGAGATGCACTCGCACGACTGCCGCCAAGTGGCGGCTCGCGCGCCGACCTTGTAGCGCTCGCCGCCCTCTCCATGTACGACACACCTGGGTTCTTGGGATAGTATCAACTTGATACGTCTAGTTACGTGCACCCGTCGACCCGCATCGATGACGTGGCGTTGGTATGCATGCGCATTCTCGTGTCAACAGGCTGACGCGTTGCGTAGGCCGTCGCCCGAACACTGGACGCGCTCTCGTCCGGGCCGATGGCGTGTGCGAGATACACGTACGACCTTGAGAGCAACGGTCATCGCTGGGTCTACACGGTAGCGCGCACTAACTAAATAGTAAATCGAATGTCTATTGCCTAGTTTGTTAATATAGATAATCATGGCTCGTGGGCGTAGTGGCTGAGGACCCATTCTTCCGGGACCACGGCGGCAAAGCAGACGTAGTACGCGACAAGGAGTGCGAGAACGACCGTGACAGACCCGATGAGCATGAGCACGATCGCGCAGTTGCGCTCAAAGGTGTGCAGCGTGCCGCCGAGGGCCGACGACCTAGCCGCCTTTGTAAACTCAAAGGCTGACTGGAGCGAGACGCCAAGCGCCGACGACGACGTGGGGACGCTTCGGGCCATGGCGGCGTGCTTGATACCAAGCGCTTTTTCATGGCACGGCTTGCACTCGCGGACGTCGTGGAGGATCGAACCGGTGGCCTCGGGGGCGGGGGCGAGTGGGCCGTCGAGCACAAACGAGCACTGGAGGCACATGAGCTGCTTGCACGCATGGCATGTGCACTTGCGCTGAAAGTGGTGAAACTTCGATTTGCATACGTGGCAGTGCGCCAGACGCCGTTCCTTTGCGGCGTTGTGCCCCGAAGTGCACTCGGTGCAGACCCACGCAGTGATGGGCTCCGCCTTGGTCGCCTTCTTGCTCTTCTTGGTCGACGCGGTCGACGACGGCGGGAGGTCGTCGGGCGTGAGGTCATATGCGGTCGGGTCGACGTCGTCGCCGCATTTTTTGCAGGCGAATCGCTGGCAAATCGCGCACTTGGTCTTCTTCTTCAAGAGCGTGAGTGGGTCGTGGCAGAGCTGGCATTCTTTCGATGGCTTGGACGTCGACGTAAAGACCGAGCAGCCCTTGCAGCAGCGTTCGCGGAGCCGGTGATGGCCGGACGGCGACGGGTTTGACGACGTGCTGTAGCGCGACGACATGGAGAGGAGCGCCGAGTCATGCGACGTGTCGCTCGCCGAGTGCGGGGACATGGGCGGTGACAAGACGTTCGGCGCCGAGTGGTGGCGGTCGTCGTCGGCTTCCGAGATCGTCGGCGTTGGCAGCAAGACCGCGTCAGCGCCCACGTCGCGGAGCGCGATCGAGCACTTGCGGCAGACGACAAGGCTGCAGTACTAGACACAAATGTATGAGATGATGGACCGTTGATATAAGCAGACGAGCGTACGTGGCAGGCGTAGCGGTGGCGAAACACGGTAAACTTTTCGTGGCACGTGGCACAGGCCTTGGCGACGTCGTCGTCGGACGCGTCCTTGGCCGAGAGCGTCGAGAGCCGACCGGAGGAAAAGCGGGTCGAGAGCTCCGAGTCGCGCGTCGGCGACAGCACCGGCGGCGGGATCGTGATCGACATGCGCGAGAGGCGGCGCTGGGAGGCCGTCATGCGTGTTCGGCGGAATAAAAACCAAAATATCGTATCCGGGCGCGTTGCGTCCATGGTATCCGGATGCTGGCCAGCAGTGCGTTGGCCAATCACAAGCGTTCTCATGTATCGTACCCAATCACAACGCCGACTGCGACACCTATGTTGAATCGGATGACGCAAGCCGGTCGCCGCCACAAGCGTGTCGATCACGCGAAGCGCCCCGAAAGTCAACATGCGCGAAGTCGCTCGGCGCCATGAACAAGTCGTGTCGCAGCCGTCGCTCACCGACTATTTACCGTGATGTACATGTTTGCTTTTCGGAATTGTTGAAATGAAATTATTTCAACTATTTCGGAATCGTCCTTTGTTGACGCCATCCGAAGGAGGAGATCCTTCGTGGCGACAAGATTGGCGAGATGCCAGATGCATGTATCTTCCAGTTGACGTACGGTTGTGCGAGCGCAATACTACGCAGTAGGAGATCGTGATGATGATGAGAGGGCAGATGAGAGGGCGCTATGTGTGAGTACACGTGTACTGTGTGACAGAAATGTCCACAACCCAGAGTGCAGGTCGATAGCAGCCGCTCGTGGCGAATGGTTCAAGTACATACATGCTCTCGAGGCTAGCCAGTGCCGGTAGGACAAGCACATAGTTTAGGAATCATCCGCGGACGGCTTGTCTGGATGCGATAATATTCCGCAAAAGGCTGTGGGATCTGCGACAGAGACGAGCAAGCGCGCTGTTTCGTGAACAAAAATGTCAGTCCTTGGTGCAGGTCGTCGTACGTTTGCGTACGGGGTTGAAATCATGATGCAACCCTGTCGACGGGGTCCGGCACGATGAGTCGTCATGGCACTGCATGACATTATTGGCCAACCAACGTGCGCCATACATTCTGCATGGAGGTTAGCGACCTTGACGGTGCGAGGGCATGATTCCGTACATCTCTCGCTTGTCGTATGCCTGCTCAGACACTGTTGCGCCGCGGTCCTCGATTTCGCGAGTGCCGCCAAAACCTCGGACGCTCGTGCTGCCACGTCACGGATGAAACGCTCAACGGACCCTACACCTACGACTGCAGTCTGCTCACTCGCCTCGACGATACGAGTGGACTAGAGACAATATTTTCTTGACAAACCGAATGTTGACAACGCGAAATAGGACGACTAAGTATACGACGACCGGCGCTGTTTGGACTCGAGCTTGGCCATTTGAATGTCAAAGTGCACGCCGCGTTGTGCCACGTAGAGCTCGGTGAGGCGGTGAACGAGGTGCGTCTTGAACCCGAGCGCGACAAAGTCGACGCAGCAAGCGACGACGATCGACGTGCGGTACTGCACGCTGCTGTCGAACGCAAACACATAGTAAATGTTGAGGCAGAGCAGCGGGACTTCCTGGAGCCAGAGGCGGAGGAGCGAGTTGGCCACCTCGAGATGCTCTTGCTGCAAATGCCCCAGCGACACTTGGAGCGCGACCAGTGTCGTGACCATGCTCTGCCGTCCATGAACGTGCTTTCGGATCATGACGGACGGCTCGCCGGGGCCGAGCGCCGGCCCGGTCTCGGTCGGCTTGATTTTGATCGTGTTGAGCACCCACGCCCACGGCGAGTGGCGGAAAAAGATGGGCACGCGCAGCATGAGGAGCGACGGGAGCGACGCGAGTTCGACGCCGAGGCCTATCGAGTAGAGCGCGATGCGCACGACATTGGTGTCGTACACCATGACGTAGACAAAGTACGCAATTAGCTCCGTAATGAGCTGTGTCATGTCCAGCAGCGTTTGGAGGCCGAGCACGAGCTGGACGCGGCGCTCGGCCGCGCGCTTCTCGAGGTTCGTGACCACCATTTGCGTCTGCGTCGGGTCTTCGATTCCGCTTTTTTCCTGCTTGGAAAAGCCCGTAAAGACGCGCGCGGCGAGGCAGCTCTGCGAGAAGAACATGCGCACGAGCAAGATAAAGCTGCACGCACTCAGAATGCAAATCACGCCGAGCACTGCGGGGCCGTACGGCAAGAGCGACGACGAATTTGTCGCGGACCATGTGACGGGCGCCCAGTTGAAGTTGATTGAAATCGGCGTGTAGACCATACTTCCGGATGTTTTTTGGTAGCTAAAGTTGCCGACCGTCGCGAGCGTGCTAGCGACGAGCACGTGCAGGTCAAAAGCCGGGGTTCGCATGTATGTGCCGGGTAAATACGTCACGAGGCCTGTCCGACCGAGAAACGGCGCGGACGACGACACGTCATTATTGGCTTGGTACCGCAGGTACGCGTATGTGGCGTCGAACAAGAGATTGACTGTTGAGGTTGTCGATGAGGTCGCGATCGAGGCGGATGACCACGACAATGGCGGCCCGAGAGAAACGTTACTAGTCGCAATATTCAAAGAGGGCATCGATATGGAGAGCACGGTGATGGTCAAGGGCGTTGGTGACACCATTTTGAGCATCTTGACGTCGATGCTCAAGCCCACAAAGACGAGACCGACGGTAGCGGCAAAGATGGTGTTGGCGGCCGCAACAAACGCGACGTTGGACGCTGGTGACGTTTCGGCGCCGTCAAAAACCAGCATCGACAGCTGGGGCTGCGTCGTTTGCACGAGCGTCAAGACGCTGCTGAGCGACGACGGGGTGTCGTACACGTAGAGCAGGCTCGCCGTCCCCGCACTGGCATTCAACAAGAGCGGCAACAGCGGATAAAACGAGCTGGACGTCGAAATGACGTACGCGATCTCTGCACTCGACTGACCATAGTGGGATGCAAGCGCGGCCACGGCGCGGAGCTTGTGCTCATCGCTCGGTGCGATCTGCAACGTTGTCGCACTGGCACCAGACGCACAGGAATAGCTGCTACAGCCGTAGTTGACATGCACGACCGCCGGGCGCTCGAGCTGGAGGAGGGAGTCGACGAGCGCGCACGACGACGCCGCACAAATCGGCCCCAAAATGGCGCTGACGTTGGGCAGATGGCGCCACGCGGCGAGCGCACCCGCGTCCGAGCAGCGCGTCTCGAGGAATATGGGCGTCACTGACTGGTTGAAGAGGAATGCAGCACTTGCGTCTGCGATAGCGCTGTGCACTGCGTTTTGCAGCTGCGTGTCGCTCAGCGACGGCACGAGGACGCCGAGGAGGAGATCGGCACTCACGGCCGCCGCGACGACCGCCAGTGGCAGCCACGTGCGACGCGCCATCCTCTGGGAAAGAAGTTTCACACCGTCTAATTAAAACATTGCCCAGCGCTAAAAATACGCACCACGTAATCTTTGTGTATTTTATAGGACAATATGTTGTCGTTACGGTTTGTGGTCGGACGCCATCGAAGCAATGGTCGCTTCGAGCGCCGCGACGGACGAGAGCAACGAGTCGTGCCGTGGGCGCGTCTCGATCGGTGCCAACGAAGCAGCTTTGTACGTCACGAGCTCACGACGCAGCTCGTCTGAGAGCGCGCGCTCCGCATCTAGCTGCGCTTGCAACGCGCGCACTTGGCTGCGGGCGTGGACAACGTACAGGCGGTAGGCGCCCAGATCGGGCAGACGCTGTTCGGTGTGAACCCGAAGCGCCGCGAGCTCAGAGGTTGTCGCCGCCAGCGCGGTCTTGGAGTGCACCAGCGCGCTGCGCAATGCGTCGCACGACGTGCACGCCATGCAAGATACTTTTTGCTTGATGCCGATTGGGCAGCGACGGTTCGTTGGTGCGCCGTGATTGGTCGCCGCTCAATATAGAACAAAAGGCAACATGACCCAGCGCAAGCCGTCGGCCGTCGCGCTGGTCGGCAACTCGGGCGGCGGCCAAGTCAAGTGGAATGCTGTCAAGCTCGGGGCGGCGTCTGTATTGGACCACCGTGTGGTGCTTGACAGCATTCGCTACGACTATGATATCGCTGACCCGCAATCCTACCAAGTTCTCAAGCAGAACGCAAACCGGCCGTGCCCATATGCGCAGCCTTTCCCAAAGATCATTTCGCAGCGTACGAGCCATGGACCCGCGCTGCCGTCGCGGCCGTCGCCGCGCCTTCCAACGCCACTCACGAGTCCGCCAAAGAAGATCCAGTTTGACACGTTGTCCATCACGGCCCCCCGGTCACCGACCAAGCCAAGGTCCCCACAAAAGCCGAGGTCCCCACCCAAGCCCAAACCTCATGCAGAAGCGACATCCCCCACGTCACCGCGCGCCAAGCAAGCATGGTCGTTGCCGCTCGCCAAGGACCGCCCCAAATACATCCCGTCGATTGCCACGATGGACCGCAAGCACACGCGGCAATTTGCCTTGGCCAAAATGCAAGTGGACGGACTCGCGAGTCAGCTTTCCAAGCATGAAAAGACGGGCAAAACACTCAAGAGCTCTCTCTCGGACGACGACTTTAACACGGCGTGCCTCACCGTCGCGCGCCTCGCGGCCGAGTACGCGGCGATCGGCGATCCCGAGACGTACGTCCCTCCATCCATTCATCCACGTTTCCATAGTGGAGCTAGTATGATTACGAACGGACCATGCTAGGGCTTGGGTCTACCGCTGCTTTGGCGCGCGGGCCCTTGGCGACCGCTACATCCAGTGCTTTCTCAAGAATGTCACGCTGCAATTTTACGACGATGCGGTCGTCGACTTAGCGCGCGCGTGCGGTCACTTCCAGACGCTCTTTGAGATCAAAAACCAGGTCTTCGTGGTCCTATTCCACCTTCGTCGTCGTCACGCGGCAGGTAGACGAGCTACGCGCGCACCGAGGACGAGACCCAGAGCCAAAGCGATCGCGACCGGTACCATCCACCATGTATCCGCGCAAATCGACGTTGGAACGTAGCTTTGTGCTCTTGTCGCTGGCCCCCGAGCACGTGGTCAAGTCGTTTGCAGCCCACGCCGCCAACACGGCGCTGCGCCAAGCCTCGGTGGCGATCGCTGAAGCCAAGTCGCGCACCGGCAGCGTGTTTCACATTCGCATGGCGTGCGAGATGCTCTCGATCGCGTATGCGGCCTTTGCGTGGCTCCGGCTCGAGACGGACCAGCTCGGTCTCGTGCACACGTCGATAGATGCCGCTCAGCGCAACGCGACGCTGGCGACAGCCCTCGCGACGCTGGCGTCGAACCGGCACAAGGCGCTCGTGACCGAGTGGATCACGCACCACCAGACGTGCTCGGTGCAAGCGCAGAGCTTCCTCACGATCTCCAAAACCGCAGAGGCGCTCCGGGTACCGAAAGACGTGACGATCGCGACGCACATTGCAGCGACCAACCTCGAGAAGCGCGTCATGGCTGCGGTCGTCCAGGTGCTCCAAGGTCTCGGCGGCAACTGCGTCTACCGCGACCATAGCACTCGCATCAAGGCCAAGCGAGGCCAGATGAACATGGGCATGGCGGAGCTCCGGCTCCGTCGCAAGAGCGCGCTCTCTGGCCACGTGGACAATGCGTACGTGAGCTTGCACGCCGCCAAGCGCCGCTCGGACCTCCTGGCCGCGTCGTACGAAGCCGATGTGTACGTGCTGGCCAAAGGCCCAAGCGCGACGCCGTTCCAGCCGCCGTCGCCGCGGCAGCAGGCCGAGCTTGCAGATATGGACGACGAGGGGCTGGCGTCCATGGCCTACGAGATGAACGCAGAGCGCCGCCAGCGGGCGACACGCCGGGCCGTTGCCAGCTACGTCCGCCACGTGCTCGAACAAAGCGTGCGCCGGGTGCTGCGACCATTGTCAGCGGTCGCCACCCCCGTGGTCCCCTCGGCACCGCCCGCGTCGGCGCCACTGACCTTTTTCGACTTGGACTTGGACACGCAGCGCCAAGTCATTTTGGCCGAGATCCAGCACTGCAAAACACTGTACGACGGCCGAATCGCCGACGAAGTCGGTACGGTGCAAAAGCTGTGCTGCCTTTTCCACGAACCCATCCAAGTCCAAGAGGCATCCGAGGCGGGCGCATACGCCCTCTTGCAGGCCCCTCTTTACATGCCCCGTACCGACGCGTACGACGACGACGACGGTGACGCCGACGACTATGCCATTGCGTGGGCAGCGACCCCGTAACCCATTGGTCCACGAGCCTCATTTTGCTGTGTCTTGTGTTCTTGTCCGCGTTATCGTTGCACGAGTGCCAAAGTGTCTCACAAACTCTGGCGCTGCCAGTCGCCGTCGCGGTACGAGAGTTGGCTCGTCGGCCAGAACGTCGGCTCGAGCTTGAGCGTCGTCAGGTGCATTTTGCCGCCGAGATCCATGTACTTGACGCGGATCGAAGTGGCGGTCGCTGATTTCGCTGTCACGACGCGCACAAAGTCGTCGAGGTTGGAGATCGGGACGCCGTCGAGCTCGCAGATGCGGCTCGTGGGCGGCGGACCGTACCGCGCGGCCGGCGACCCCGCATACCTAACCCTCGCTGAGACACGCACCCAAAAGTTAGACAATCGTGTACCGGCACGAAACGTAGACGCCGTCGCGGGACGAGATTTCGCGCTGCGACGCCACCGAGAGCGGCGGCACTTGGAGAAGAAGGCCTTGCCAAAACACGATGCGGTCGACTTCCCAGCTCTCGAGGTGGACGGTCTTGAGCGTCAGCTCCATGCGCTTGCCCTGACGCACGATGGTCGCTTGCACCGACTCCTTTTGCGTCGCAATCTAGAGTCATAGGTCTCAGATAGAAGCCGCGGAAACGCGAGCAACCTCGACTTCGCGGAACGACGTGACGACGCGGTCGTCGATAGCCACGAGCACATCGCCGTTGCGCAACTGGGCCGAGGCGTCCGTGCCGCCCCAGCGACGCCCGACCGACAAGATGGTGCGGCGCTCTGGCGCGTGGCCCTCGAGCGCTTTCGCGGTCGCTTCGTCCATGCCGAGTTCACGGCCTTTGGCGAGGCTAATGTGCTCGAAGTCAACGCCAAGGTCAAAGAGCTTGGGCGACGCCTCGCCGCGAAGCAGCGGTGCGACGCTGTCCAAGATGATGTCCATGGGAATGCCCCGCGTAAACTGCGACTCGACTTTGGTCGGACCGCGCTGCTGCTGAAACGAAAACGACGCCCAAAACGCAGAGACAGCCCCCGACGGCGTGCAGACCGCACCGCCTTCCGTGTTGACCACGTCCTGGAGCGCGACCATCTCGAGGTTGTGCTCCTGGTACCGCGGCGGGTTGGGCATCGGCAGTGCGATCCACTTGACGCTCGAGACCAGTGTCTCGCGCGACACGAGCTCCGACCACGAGCTCCGGCCAATCTACCCGATCGAAGTGTATCAATGTGTCAAGTTGTCAAGAAAACGTCGTACGCCGCTCATGAGCCCGACGAGCCAGACCGGGTCGGACGGCTGCAGCGGCGTGCGCGACACGGTCGCCGACTGCACGGGCGTGTCGCCAATGAGGGCCGGGTTGTACTGGACGATCGCAAAGTTGTGCACCGGGTGGACAAAGCGGACCTTCCCGGGTACGACAAGCGTGTTCGCAAACGTCACCATGACATCTCCGAGGCGGTCCGAGACGGTGTTGCGGTCGACGACAACAAGTCCCTTCTCCGCACTGAGCACGAGACCCTAGTCCCAGATCCGAGTTACTGCGACAACGATTGTAGAATGGACGTACGGTGCCGCGGTAGTTGGCCATGTTTTGGCTGTTGATGGAAAACGGTCGGTCGTACTCGATCGTGACGAGCGACGGCGCGAGTGCCCCTTCAATAAAGTTTTTCCCGGGCAAAATCGACGTCGACCCAACCGGCGCTGGCTCGGACGTCGGCGGCAGCGCGCCGTCGAGGCTCGTGCAAGTCCACGCGCCCGTCGTATCGTTGCGAATGTACTCTTGGAATGGAAACCAGCGGCGATCGACGTGCACGACCTCGACCTTCTCGACCTTGCTCGCCAAATGCTTGTACTTGACAACCAGCCGGGCTTTGTCCGGGCAGAGCAAGAGCACGTCCTTGAGCGCGTCGAGGGTCGGCGTCGGCGTCCCGTTGACAGACAGCAACAGAGCGCCTTTGGGAATCCGCGACCGCTGCAAAAAGTACCCTGGGTCCGCCACGTACGGCGCGCCCGGCGCGAGCACGTGGTTGCGCGCCTGCTGGTACGAGAGCGGGTTGATCGTCGCGCCGCCGACGTCCAAAAACCGCGACGGTGTGATCGCGTGGAGGTCCTGGACCGGCACGTCAACCGTGATGAGCTCGCCGGCGCGGTCCAGCTCGAGGCGGACCTGCATGGACGTCAACCGGTGTACACGACTGTCGAACGACGTACCGAAGCGTCGACAGCGTCGTCAAGCACGCTTTCAAGCGGCACAAACTCGTGCAGGAGCTGGCCGTTCACGCGCAAAAGCACGTCGCCGGGCTGCAGCTTGTCGCCGCACGGGCTGCTCGGGAGGACTTCGGCGACCACGAGCATGCCGTTGGCCGTCGGGAACGCTTGTCGCACCGACGCTTCGGTCGCTGCCGGGAGCCCCAACCGCCGCACTTCGTCAAAGGGCTGCATGTACAGAAATGACAACTTGTCCATTTTCATGGACGATACCTTGTGCTGAAACACAGTTTGGATCGTGCCGCGCGGGACGTCGGCGCCGGCTTGGAGGAGCTCGAACGCGCGCTTGACCCGGTCGAGCGGGAGGTAGTATGACGCCGACGTGCCCATCTTGCCACCGGCGTTCAACCCGATCGCGTCGCCGTCGCCGTTGAGCACCGGCGACCCGGACGAGCCGCCGCTCGTGCCGGAGGAAGCTTGGAAGTAGAACGTGTTGAAGTCGTTGTACGTGTTGAAGCCGTAGTTGGGGCATTCGCGGTCAAGACGCGCGAGCGTGCCCGACGCGATGGCGAGCTTCTCGGCCGCGTCGTTGCCGACGACGCGAATGTCGGTGCCGACGGTCGCCTTTTCGGGGCAGAGCCGAAGCGACGGCACCGCCATGTGACGGACGTCCTAGCCGAATCGTGCCTAGAAACAGCAGGTCCGTCATCACGTACCTTGGGGTCGTAGCGGAAGAAGCCAAAGTCGTGGACAGGATCGCGATAGATGGGAACGACGCGCACCTCTTCGTTGTTTTGGAAAATGGCTTCCGCGTCCTAACATAGCGTCATGATGAAGCGATTCGCAAGAGCGAGGTGCGTACGACAGGACCCGCGCCGACGACGTGGCGGTTGGTGAGGATGATGCCCTTCTCAGCGTCGACGACAAAGCCCGTGGCCCATCCGTTGCCCGGTGTTTCCGTGTCAAACGACTACCTCGACGCATGAGACGACGACGCATAGACCCAAGTAGCAATGCATCGACCTTGGGCGAGTTGAGCTTTAGTGAGACTACACGAGCACGTTGAGACACGACGGTGGCAAGGCGGCGGCGTACCGATCGCAGGCACGACGCGCTCGAGCGTCTGCTTCCAGTTGGCGTCCGGTCGCGCCGCCTCGGTCGCGCTCGGCACCGCCTCGAGAAGAGACGCCTTGTTGCGCTCGTTGGCCTGAAGCGCGACGCCGACGCAGACAAGACCGCTTAGGAGGCCAAGGCCTACGCGATCTTTGTGACGCGACAGGATGTGACAGCGCTGGCGCACCGAGTCGTTTGTGGCGATGAGCGTGGTCCAGGAAGGGCGCCGCATGGGAGAAGCTGCGGCGCGTCGTCTTGGCGGTGTGGAGCCATCGCATGCGCTGGGTGCGGAAGCTGCTACGCACGGCCAACATACTCATTCTCGTCGTCGTCGGACGTCTGGGGCTGGTCTTCGGCGGACGGCGACAATCCGAAATAGTGTATTCGTGCGACACGCCAATGTTCGTACACTAATTTACAGAACGACGGGTAGTGTGACTTGTTGCGATCTTGAACAGGCAATTACGACCATGAAGGCGTCCGAGGCCATCGACCGCGTCTTCTTTGAGAAGAAGTTTAGCGCGACCAAGTACATGCTGCGCTATATCGTCTCGGCGACGGACGACGCCCGCGCCGAGCAGCTCCGCACGGTGTCGCACTACCGCGAGCTCGCCGACATGGAGATTGCCAGCGTCGTGGACGCCAACTACACCAACTTTAATGCCAGCCTCGGCAAGTTTGCCGGGATTGCGCACCAGCTGCAAGGTACGGCTTGCTGCTACGTGATGTCGGGTAGTATGCGGACTCTTAGATGCGCGTGCGGGACTGCTCGAGGTCGAGAAGCGAAGCATGGAGGGCAAGGCCATCTTGACGGCAAAGACCAAGAACCTCCACGACCTCCTCTCACAAAAGTACGAGGCCAAAAAGGTGCCGCAGACCATGACTAGTATCGCGCACGGCTACATGACGCGGTGTAGGTCATCGATCTCATCAACGACATCGAGTACATTGAGCTGGCGCCGGTCAAAATTCAAGCCGCGCTGGACGCGGGCCTCGCAGGCCAGGCCGTCGACGTCTACCTCCGCGCCTTTGACCTCGTCTTTAGCGAGAAGCTCGTCGTCTTTAGCGCCGTGGCCACCATGCGGCATGCCCTCCTGGAATGCAAGCAAACGATCGAAGACTACTTGATCGCAGCCCTCGAGGCTGGCTTGTATCTCGAGGTTCGTCCTTGCATGTATGTGGCGCTTTGCATATATATATACTAATGTAGGCCGTCTGGGCCAAATACGCGAAATCGTCGACGCCGATCGGTGCCTTTGGCGCTCTGACGTCGTCGACGCCGGCACCGCCGCTGGCCGACCTCGCGCGCTGCGTGCAGCGGTGCGAATGTCTCTTTTTGAATAGCTCCCACCGTCGACTCGTTAGGCTATCGCGTGAAGCCGAAGTCATTGGCTCGCTCAAAACCTCTCTCGAGCTGCGGCTTCAGGCGCTCATCGAGCGCATCGGCTCGATCTGCCGCGCGTCGCTGGCGACTGTCGACACGAACGAGCGGTTTGGCCGCTCGCCGCATGCCAGCACCTTTCAAGTCTGCTCGCAGACTGTGCTGGGTGCTGTCGCCACCTGCCTCGGGCACCACGCCGCGTTGGCCGCTACGTTGTCGCGGTCATTGTACCCGCTCGACGAAATCGTGCACAAAGCCTTCCACGTCCTCGAGGTGCATTGCTATCAGTACGTATCGTGGTGTTGACGCAATGATGCGCAGGAGTGGCTCGTGCAGCATTTGAGTGACCCCGAGACTGTGGCGCCGACCCCCACCTCGCCGATCGCCGGCGCATCAACCAACGTGGGCCTCTTCCGTTTCTTTCCTACTGAGGCGCGACCGATCGACAATCAAGTCGCCCATGACGTGGCACCGTCCTCGCTCGTGTGCCCGCCGAGCCTCTTTCACGTGCCGCGTATATTCCCGGACGTGCACGTCTTCTCCAAACACGTGGCGACGCTCTGCAGTAGCGTCTCGTTTGTCGAAGTGTTTTGGCGACCGTTTGTTATACGCATTTGGCTCCCCAAGCTCCAAGCCAAAGCTTCGGTACCTTGTGTCCTGTGTCATTCGAGCCAAATTGCTGTCGCTAGGCGATGCTTGCGGCGCCATCGCGCGCCGGCGACTCGGGGTTTACCTTGCCCATGCCCATGGTATAGCTATCTATCTATCAATCCATCCGAAAATGATGCTAGTGACGGCTGACATTACATGGGTTAGGATACCATGTATGCTGTACCCAACGTCCACGCGTTGGTCCTTGTCGTGCGTGAGCTCTTCGCGATGCTGCCCTCCTTCTCGCTCGTGGCGCAAGAGCTGATCAATGTGATCGACAACACAGCCCGGCGGTTCGCAGAGGACTGTGCGGGCCTCGTCCGGTATACTTGCCTGTAGGAGCTCACTGCAAGTTGCCCATTTCTTTTTGGTAGCAAAATCTGTGACGGGTCGCTCAACCAGGTCGAAATGAACATTGGCGCGAGCGAGCTCGGGCGTTTGCTGCACCAGACCCCGTTGTATGCAGCCGCCAAGGGCAGCGTGCCGTACCAGTCGCTGGCCAAGATTGCGCCCTCGGACACGGCCACGGCAGCGCCGTCCGCAGCAGACCCGATGGGTTTCACGAACCGGTACAGCGTGAGCTACAGTCTCCCGGTGCCAATAGCCACGAGCACGTCGTTGCCACCCGTACGACGAGTCGTTGGCTGAAGTATTCAGCTGGATGGTGCGTAGAGCGAGGTCAAGGTCACGCCGCGAGATGAGCTCCATGCCAAGGAGCTCGATTTCGAGGCTAAGTTTTTGGATGTGGACTTTTGGACGCGGCCCGGGACCACCAAGTCGCTCGTGCAGGATCCAAGCAAGCTCTCGATGCTGGCGTATTTGAGCAGCTGCTGTGATTTCGTGTCGCTCGTCCTCGACAAGCACGTGCAGGCCAGTGAGTGCAAGAGTACCGCCGACGCCGACGCTGTATGACTGGATTCTGCAACGCACGAGGTTTGATCATGCGAGTAGCATCTCGTGGCCACGCTCAAGGCGACGAGCTGGCGCTGCAGCAGCTTGGCCGACGAGTGTCTCTTCTTCCTACGCCGCGAATTGCACTTGGCGTGTTACTCGTACATGACCCAAGTGGCCAGCGGACCCTTGGACGGACCCGAGGTCCCGTCGTGCGCACCAAATGAAAGCGTCCTAAGCCTCGCGTCCAAGCTCTTGAGCTGCGAAGAAAATTGCTTGGCACCGTATCTGAGCAAGCACAAGGTCGCGCTCGTGCTGGACGGCCTCGACTCGCTCGTGTGCCACATCCTAATGCACCTCATGTCCAACATCCCAAAGCTCTCGGTCGGTGGCGTCGCTCAAATGCACTGCAACCTCAACTCGCTCCAGCAGTCGCTCACGAGCTTGTTCTACAAGTACCCGAGCGTGCGTCGCGACGCGTTTTACTTTCAGCGCGCCAAACGGTACGTATCAACTTACTATCAAGTTGATACACGTGTGGTGTAGGTACTATGCGCTCGCTTTGCTCTCGGAAACGGACCTCGAGATGTTCCTCATGGAGAACCGCAAGGCGTTCGCACCCGACCTTCTCCGCGCGATTTGGCGCGTCGACGTGCCGACACGACCCATGACGAAAGCCAGCGTCAACAAACTGGATAGTTTACTTCGATAATCTACGATTTATACGAGTTCAATGATGCCAAGTATCCATGTGGTCTCTTGACCGTGCACTTTGCCCGTCTCCTTTGTCGTACGAGGACCGGAAGTCGAAGACACTTGGTGTGGTAAAAGACTGTCACATCCTCCAGCCAAAGTCTTTTCGCAGATACCCGAGCTACCGTGCGCTGCTGTTGCTGCAGCAGGTTCAAACCAGCGTTCGCAACAGCGTTCGCAACAGCAAATGCATCGTGCTTGGCCATTTTGGCACTCAATCTACGGGCGTCGCATGGGCGGAAATTCCGACGTGCGTGGTGCTGCAGTGCTTGGAGTACTCGTATTTGAACGGCGGTGGCTTGGCCGCTAGTACAAGATGCTTCATGGCATCTCAAGATCGACTACGAGGTCCGGTACCGGCTTGGCGGCGGCGAGGACTACTCTTTGGCAAGCTCTATTGTACGAAATCAAACTTATTGGGAGTGCTTTCGCGCCAACTGGGACGCCAGAGTGACTAGACAGTGTGCATTTAGGTGTAGATGGCTGGCAGGGCCATTTTGAAAAATTCCCGCGCTACCGTCGACTAGTTGCGCTCGGCTTGGATTCTGTTGCGCTTCCAGACTCACATTTCAACGTGTTCGGAATGGCGCCATATCTACAGTTGAACGCTGTTTGTCTACCACGACTTATCTGTGGACAAAATCGCCTCGAGGGTCGCAAGGTCGTCGGGTACGTCGACGCCGGGATGCGCACTGGGTACTGCCACCATCTTGATCTTGTGGCCGGCCTCGAGCACTCGCAGTTGCTCCAGGTCCTCAACGTCGCCGAGCTCGTGGCGCGTCAGCGTCGGGAAGACGTCGACTAAAAACGACGTTCGGAAGGCGTAGAGTCCAATGTGCTTCATGGTCCGCGCCGGATCAAATGCATCATCCTTGGACGCGGGAATGAGACCGCGTGAAAAATACATGGCGTGCCTACGCCAAGCGAGATCTCCACATGCACAAAAGTAATAGGCGCCTACGACTCGTGGTTGGCAACGACCTTGACGACGTTGAAGCTCCGCGCTTCGGCCTCTGTGCGGACAGGCGCCATGAGCGTGCTCATGACGCACGTTGGGTCGTCCTGGAGCGCGGCGACGCAGAGGTCGATGTGTGCCGGGTCGATGGCCGGCTCGTCACCTTGGATATTGACCACAATATCGCAGAGCGAAGCTGGTTGCGGTAGGCGAGTGAGCGCTTGCAGCACGCGCTCTGTCCCGTTGGCGCACGCCGCGTCCGTGAGGATCGCCGCCGACGGCAAGAGCGAAGCGATCTCGACGGCGTCTGTCGCGACGTAGACCGCGTCCAGATTGGCGGCGCGTGACGCAGCCTCGAACGTGTGCGCAATCATCGGCTTTCCGCAGAGGAGCGCGAGCGGCTTGGCAGGGAAGCGCGTCGAGCGCAGGCGCGCCGGGATGATGCCGACCGCGCGCAGCTTCATGTCGTTTCCGGATGCCCGGATACGTCGGTCTCTCGTTTCCGGATGTCCGGATACGTCAGTGTTGCTGTCCGGGAATTGGCCCGGGACATTGCAGGCGATAGCTGGACATCCGGTGGACATGTCGTATGGTACATGTACCGCGTGGCACACCACGACCCTTCTGTCCCATATTAAGTGACGATGAATCAGAGACAGGGGTACTCGTATAGGGTGCAGATAGGAAATAGGTCATGGATGAATAATGTCAAATAGCACTCTGTTGGCTGACTCCGAGTGGTTATTCTGGGGCAGCAGCCAATGCGAATGTCATCACATGAGTTTGGCGTAGAGAAGCAGTACGAGGATGGCGATGTAAGGCCTCCAAGGTGTTTGGAACCTCTACATTCGCATCTAATTTAACGTTTTCCACTCAATGTCGTAAGGGGTCAGTGTGACCGAGCGGTCCAAGGTGCTAGACTCAAGTTCTAGTGTGTTCGCACTCGCGGGTTCAAATCCCGCCGCTGACAATTTTGCCCATTTCATCAGTGAAGTAACAACGTCACCGTTGCTGTGGAAAGCCCTGTACTCTGCGTTCAGCACTACACACGACGTTGTGCCGCTCCCTGCGTAATTCCCCCATTATCGGGGGCACTGTAGGCAGCTTTTACGCATTCAACAGTCCACACGTGTGGCATACACTGCCGAAAAACTCTTCATTGATGTCTACGTCTTGGTTCGTGCTTTCTCAAATCGTTAACACAGCCCCATTGGGTTGATGCATATACCCACAGAACAGTTGAGAATCTGTAAATCTTGTTTCTCGAGTAATATCAGAATAGCACGAAACGTTGCGTTTTTGAAAAAAAAGCCCGCCGTCGACAGCATGGCCACGTGCTACGCATCGCCCAACACGACATGCTCGAAAGCAGACTGGTCCACCTGCGGGTTTAGCTGGCTGCTACCGACCCCCATCGTGCTTCTCTGGGGCGTCTGGCTCGTGGGGGGCGGCCGGCGTCTGGTCTTCTAGTAGTAGAGCCGAAGCCAAGCCGAAGACCCCGACCCACGTTGATACAATGTGGCTGGGAGTCGTAAAGGTCATTCGGTGGGCTGCTATAAAGCGCGTTTGGCTCTACCGGCATACGTTCAGGTCTTGCCTGTCTCCAGCTCGGTTGCCGCCACAGTTTAAAGGAATGGAACCCATCGTCTCGCAACCGTCTCGTTGGACCAGCCCACAGCTTTGCTTCCATTGTACTCTTCTGCCAACAATAGTGTCTGAACCGTCAGCTATATCAACGTGGATCGCTAATCCCTGTGGCGAGCGAAGGTTTTTTGTTTGTTTGCACTTATGCGACTCACCGTCCCCACGGCCATCGGCGTCGTCGGCTCGTTGCCGCTGTCGCGAGCGCCAAGACGGGTGTCACGTGCATATGGAAAAAGGCCCGCAGCTCTGGCGAGAGCTCTGTCTCGAGAAAGTCACCCAAAGCGCACGCATCTGCCGTCGTGTAGAGGAGCGCGAGGTTGGAGATTGCGACACAAAAGTCATGCGGGCGCTGGTTCACTTGGCACCCAACGGCTTGGTGCAAAAGACTGAGAAACTGACGCCGCGTGGACCGACGGCGTTCGACTTCGGCGAGAATGGCCGGCGGCACAAACGTAAACTTGTCCGACCCCGACCATCGGCCGTGCTTCGACACGGAACGGAGCGCCATGTTGTCTAGCAAATAATCGACGCGCAAGTCGTTTGGACGCGGCGGTTCCACCGATGACATCGACAGTGTGTGGGTTGGCGGCGACGGTGTGTGGGTTGACGCCGCCGCCGCATCGTCACGGACTGCCGCTTGCAACGACGCCACGGATGGCCCCGCAGCCGCAAGGGCACCGACGGTAGGTCCCAGCAACGGCACATGGCGGCGTGTAGCGTGCTTTTCGTGCGTTATACCGACCGCTGACCCTGGGTTTGAGTGACGCGGTAGCCTCTCCGTCGCGAGGCCCAACGGGATTGCACTGGCGGATAGCGCCAAGACGCTGTGCTTGCTTGACGTATCGGACGACGTCGTGATCGTGCACGACGGTGTAGACGCCCGAGCGGTTGTGAACGACGTGTCGGGGGCCACAGACCCCGCGCTCGTGCGGCGTGAGAGTGTCGGCGAACGGGCGAGCCGGATTGCATGGATGTCGCTTTTCCCACGCGCAATACTGTGGTGACGGCTCACCGAACGACGCTGCGACGGCAGCACCGACCGGTCGGAGCCGTCCGAGTGACCGTGAACGCGACGCCGCGTGAGCTGCTGGAGCCACGTGGCCACGCCGCTTGCTTGGCGCTTCCAATTTCGTCGAACCAAGTCGCTGCGTTCGTGGTGTACCTCGAGCGTCACCAGGCGCAGACAGAGAACCTCCAGCAGCGATGAAATGCGATACACCGCGTGCCAGCGCGTAAGGCCACGTTGAATGCGGTCAATGGTCTCGGGGGTCACCAGCACAAACGGGTTTGTCTGCGCGTCCGCGGCTTGCACGACAAGGGTGAGGATCATTGCGCACTTGTGGACGGTCACTTCACTCGAATGATCGAGTGCGACGCTAAAAGCTTGCAGGTAGCTCGCGTTGCGGAGCCAGAGACCAAGGGGGAGATGTCCCGCCATCGTTGCATCGAACAGTGAATGGGTTGCATCGGCCGCTGTCTTGAGATGCGTCGACGCACAGAGCGCCGAGAGCACTTGGAGAAACACCGGTTTCGAAAGTCGAAGGTACCGGGTCTGGTACCATTGCAACAGAAACAATGCAATTTCGTGCATGTCCGACCGGTCCCGGGCAACACAGGCGGACGTGAGAATGTTGAGGGCCATGTCAAAGACGTCCGTCCAGTGTGCGACGGCCTCGGCCCCCGACTCGGACCGCGATATCCACTGTTTGCCACCAAAACGCGCCACATCATACTCGGCCCCGACAACCTCGGCCGTCGACCCACCTCGGCCTAGCATGCTGGGCGCAACTAAGCGGGCTAGCGAGAGCGTGTTGCTCCAGAGTCGCGACGACCGGCTGCTGTGGAGGTCGGTCACGGACGAAGACGTCCTTTGTGCTGCGTCTACAACCCAAGGTATTGACTCTTCTTGTTCCTCTCATTGAAGAGGTACCGCGCTGGGTGTGATGTCGACGCAACTTGATGGCCTTGTCGACGCTTGTACCGGCGCGACGCGGCAGCGAACTTCGGTCTTTGTTGTCCTTGTCTTTGAGAAAGAGCTCCGGCGGTACTATCATGTCCTGTCGCAGCTCACCGACGACACTGCGCTGCTTGCAAAAGCTCTACTCGGGTATGGTGTAATTTGTCATGTCTTCATCAAGCAAAAATGTACCTTGAGGTGCAGAAACCACAGAATGCGCAGTGCATGCACGCGTGTACGAAGCTCCTTGCCCTGGGCAATCTTCTCGATAGAGTCCACGACCGCGGCCAACTGCGTCGCATGGAGTTTGGACGGGTCCATGTAGAGTGCCGCGATTGTGCCAACAGCCCGCGATGCGGACGACGACGCGTCGCTCAAGAGCCCGAGGATGCTCTTGTCGGGGATGTGGAATTGCAATGCTCGTCGATTGTTGAGACGCCAGACGCCCAGCCAAAGCAGCGGCAGTGGCGTCAGCGCGTAGTAGAGATGACGAATGGGTGCCGACGCACCGACAAAGGCGAGGACGCACAGTGACGCGTACATGGCGCTGCTGAACGTGAGTGCGCGAATGTTGTTGGGCAGGCGACCGCTGCCAATGCACTAGATGACAACGTTTTCCAGTCGAATCGACACAAAGCTGAAAGACTCATACCGGCTGAACCTTGTAGTTGTAGCAAAAGAGCAGCGTCATGCAGAGTAGAAAGCCGAGGGCGATGCCGCTGCCGATCGCCGGGTGATGTTCAATATCGAGTTGACTGACGAGCATGGATACAATCGGGTTGACTAGACCACAATAGGACAATAGTGGCCAGGAAATACATAGGGAAGGGTTAGTTAGTGTACGTGTGCGGGCCATGACCATGATGATCTGGAAACTGGTCTGGAAGCGGAAGTCCATGGTGGTTGCCAGTGGCTCCGTGTACAATTTGTAGTGGAGCGCCGCAACGTAGAGAAGCAGAAAGCCCACAAATCCGACCGTCTACAAGTATGACACAAATCTGGAGAGATCTGGTTGGGGGACCTACCCAAAAGTAGCCAAAGCGGTCAATACATGCACACGTGGTGCCGTCCGGAAGCGCCATCGTTGTCAACTCATCGGAACACGTGGCCAAGCGCACGAGCGTCGACATGAGCGGAATGTACAGCACGTCGTATGTGATTGGATACAAGTATTTTTTGAGCCAGACGTCGACGCGGGCGGCCATCGCTGTCGGTGAAGACGAAGAAGTGGTACGAGGCGTTGCACAGCGCTTAGTGAGTCGAAGCGCTGTGATGCTGGAGGCACACAAGAGCACAAGCGCAATGTTTTCCATCTAAAGCGAAGCGATCGCATCACGGGTCGCGACAAAGTCGTACTTCGAATGGAAAGTTGAGTGAAAAGTAGAGCGGGTTGAGCCAGGGCGGACTCCCCGCGACCTTGAAGGCGATCGTGAGCGGTGTGTACGAGAGCGACGGCCACTCGGCCCACATGGCGCCGAGCTTCATGTACCGCTGCAGCCGCCGACGCGACGTTGTCGACGACTTGCGCTGGGCCAGCGCGATCGCCTTGCCTACTCGCACTTGACATAAAATCGAGGCGACCCATGGACGTACAGACCTTGGGCCAACGGATCGTGGACTGCCGCCGCGCTAAATCGGAGGCCCCGCGCGGCGTATTGATAGTAAACCAGACGCTGGCCGCCCCCCACGAGCCAGACGCCCCAGAGAAGCACGATGGGGGTCGGTAGCAGCCAGCTAAACCCGCA